ACAGCTTTTAAGATCATTTCTTTGTATGTGGATTTACAGTGGACGCTCGAGTTGCGAACGTGATCCGTGCAGGAGACACGTTCTCAGCCTACAGTGTTTGCAACCCGCAGCACCGCACCTGTGCATGCACGGGTTGTGATTTGGCGCTTCTGCGCATGCGCAAAGCACTGAAACCCGGAAGTAACCCATTCCGGTACTTCCGGGTTCGGCGTGGTGTGCAACCCGAAAACGCACAACCTAAAGCGTCTGTAACCCGAGGTATGATTGTATTATATCAGGGGTGGCAAATTCCCAAGATACTGTGTGATCTACTCAGAGTTAAAAACTGACAGTGATCGACCCGCTTTTTTGGGGTTCAGGTCAAAGTTGTTTTTTAGGAACAAGGAAGGCCTGTTTTTTAGGGGAGCCAAAGTTGTTGATCTACCAGCGTTCAACCACAGATGTTCAGTGATCTCCCGGTAGGTCACAATCTACCTGTTGGATGTGCCTGTACAGTGGTACCTCGGGTTACATACACTTCAGGTTACAGACTCCGCTAACCCAGAAATAGTACCTCAGGTTAAGAACTTTGCTTCAGGATGAGAACAGAAATCTTGCTCCAGCGGCACGGAAGCAGCAGGAGGCCCCATTAGCTAAAGTGGTGCTTCAGGTTAAGACCAGTTTCAGGTAAAGAACGGACCTTTGGAACGAATTAAGTACTTAACCCGAGGTACCACTGTATTATATAATCAGCGAGGTGTGTGTGTGTGTGTGTGTGTGTGTGTCTTGTCATCTGGGTAGCCCAGGACCTCCATACGCATTGCCTAGCTTTGTGCCCCATAGAAGTCACTGGTGCTGCTGACACAGGGTTTTCCCATAAGGAGATAGAATCATAGAATCATAGAATCATAGAGTTGGAAGAGACCACAAGGGCCATCGAGTCCAACCCCCTGCCAAGCAGGAAACACCATCAGAGCACTCCTGACATATGGTTGTCAAGCCTCTGCTTAAAGACCTCCAAAGAAGGAGACTCCACCACACTCCTTGGCAGCAAATTCCACTGTTGAACAGCTCTTACTGTCAGGAAGTTCTTCCTAATGTTTAGGTGGAATCTTCTTTCTTGTAGTTTGGATCCATTGCTCCGTGTCCGCTTCTCTGGAGCAGCAGAAAACAACCTTTCTCCCTCCTCTATGTGACATCCTTTTATATATTTGAACATGGCTATCATATCACCCCTTAACCTCCTCTTCTCCAGGCTAAACATGCCCAGCTCTCTTAGCCGTTCCTCATAAGGCATTGTTTCCAGGCCTTTGACCATTTTGGTTGCCCTCCTCTGGACACGTTCCAGTTTGTCAGTGGCCTTCCTGAACTGTGGTGCCCAGAACTGGACACAGTACTCCAGGTGAGGTCTGACCAGAGCAGAATACAGTGGCACTATTACTTCCCTTGATCTAGATGCTATAATCCTATTGATGCAGCCCAGAATTGCATTGGCTTTTTTAGCTGCCGCGTCACACTGTTGGTTCATATCAAGTTTTTGGTCAACCAAGACTCCTAGATCCTTTTCACATGTACTGCTCTCAAGCCAGGTGTCACCCATCTTGTATTTGTGCCTCTCATTTTTTTTGCCCAAGCGCAATACTTTACATTTCTCCCTGTTAAAATTCATCTTGTTTGTTTTGGCCCAGTTCTCTAATCTGTCAAGATCCTTATTCTCTCTCCCGGTTCTTCCCGCAACACATTTTCACTCTGCTTATGGCACCGTGGGGTCTTCTGGCCTGCATCTGTGATCTGATCTCTTGAAGGCTTGTGGCTCCAACCCACTCCATCTTGCAGCTTGTGGTTTTTTTTCTACGTAGGTTTTGTGGGTAGTATTGCACATGTAGCTGTTGGGTAGTGATGGTAAGATATACTTGCAGATAAAATACCAGTGAACCGATGAGCAATAAAAGAACCCGCTGATCCCAAAGACAGCTCTATGCTTTGCGCAACTGGATGGGGAAATTTGTTGCCGCAAGTTTCCTTACGCAGCCATTTGGTCTTTCTGGAGAAAGATTGGCTTAATGCAGGATGAGGCCATGCAAAGGTTGTGGTTGGCTATTAGCTGGAAGCGGAAAGTCATATTTTTCTCTGGGTTAACCACTGGATGTTGAAGCAGCTAGGAGCTGCTTCTGCTTCTGAATCTCCCATCGACAGCTAGCCAGCTGTTCAACATCTCAAGAGCGAGTGTCTGTTGTTAATTGTATTTCGACTCCACCTTTCTCCCCAAGGAGTACAGGGCTTTCCCCCCTCCTACAACAACCCTGTGAGGTAGGTTAAGAGGCTGTGACTGGCCCAAGGTCACCCAGTGAGCTTCGGGACTGAGTGGGGATTTGAACCCTGATCTCCCCAAACTACAAGAAAGAAGATTCCACCTAAACATTAGGAAGAACTTCCTGACAGTAAGAGCTGTTCAACAGTGGAATTTGCTGCCAAGGAGTGTGGTGGAGTCTCCTTCTTTGGAGGTCTTTAAGCAGAGGCTTGACAACCATATGTCAGGAGTGCTCTGATGGTGTTTCCTGCTTGGCAGGGGGTTGGACTCGATGGCCCTTGTGGTCTCTTCCAACTCTAGGATTCTATGATTCTATGATTCTATGATTCTCCCAGGTCCTGGTCCGACACTCTGGCCACTTACCACACTGGCTCCCTAGAGTCCTTCTGCTATAAAGGTAAAGGTACCCCTGCCCGTACGGGCCAGTGGTGTCTGACTCTAGGGTTGTGCGCTCATCTCACTTAAGAGGCCGGGAGCCAGCGCTGTCCGGAGACACTTCCGGGTCACATGGCCAGCGTGACGAAGCTGCTCTGGCGAGCCAGCACCAGCGCAGCACACGGAAACGCCGTTTACCTTCCCGCTATAAAGCAGTACCTATTTATCTACTTGCACTTAAGGGTGCTTTCGAACTGCTAGGTGGGCAGGAGCTGGGACCAAACAACGGGAGCTCACCCCGCCGCGGGGATTTGAACCGCCGACCATACGATCGGCAAGTCCTAGGCACTGAGGTTTTACCCAAAGCGCCACCCACGTCCCTACCTTCTGCTATGGGGCTGCTCTATAAATTAAGTTGGTAAATGGAGAAAGCCAAATCTCACTCAGAGAAGGATCTGAAACATTTTCCTGAAGCTCGAATTTGTTTTATTCTGGATTGTTTCCTTTGATGTTTTAATGTGTTGCAAAGCGCTTTGAGATTTTTTCTTTAAAAAAAGAAATGAAATCAACAGCAACAACACCACTGGAGGAAAACATGGTGCCTGGTTTTCCGTTGTGGCGAGCGCAACCTAGGTTTAAGATGGCATTTGGCGATTAGCTTATACATACGACCAGGCATCCCCAAACTCACCCTCCAGCTGTTTTGGGACTACAATTCCCATCATCCCTGACCACTGGTTCTGTTAGCTAGGGATGATGGGAACTGTAGTCTCAGAACATCTGGAGGGCCGAGTTTGGGGATGCCTGTGTATGACTTTCTAGCACTGGTTGTGTCCCTCCAGATGTTGTTGGACTCCCATCAGCCCCAGTCAGCATGGCCAGTGGCCAGAGATGATGGGGCAACATCTGGAGAGCCACAGATTCCCTTTCCTGGGTCTAGTAGGCCAGCAATGCATTCACTTTTAAGAGTCTTGTCAGAACAGGAGAAATCCCTTCTATTCCTTTTGGGATACTTCTCACTATGATTAGTAGTACATTCACATATTGCCTTTCCAGCAGGCAGATCAAGGTGGTTCTCTGCCCCTCCCTTTCCCCCTTTTATCCTCAAAACAACCCTGTGAGGTAGATTAGGCTGGGAGACTGTGACTGGTCACCCGGCGAGTCCGTCTCCTTCCTTTAAGTTGGCACCCACTTTCTAGGCTTTTTGAATGCAGTTAAAAAAAACAATCTTTTGTTTATGGCTTTTTCTGCAGAGCTACTGTACAAAGTACCGCTCTGTTTAGTTTATCAGAATTAACAAAGGCAGCAGCATTAACAATGATGTCAAAAGCCAGTTAAGAACATGACTATTTTTAGCTGGCCTTAAAATTAATGCTGCTGCCTTTGTTCCTTCTGATTATTCAGAGCCTTGCTGGAGGCCTCTGAACAGTTCCTGGGACTCGCAATTGAGGAGACTGTGGTTGTGCCTAAGCTCCTGATTGCAGGTTTCCCATCTTTCAGGTTTCCCATTGTGACAGAACCATTGGTCATTGTGACAGCAGTTAGGCCTTTGGCCTGCTCCAACATGGCTTGTCTGATTTTATTTTTATTTATTTTATTTCTATACCGCCCTATACCCGAAGGTCTCAGGGCGGTTCACATGTTCTTCAGACCACCTTCTTCCTCTATCCATATCTCGCTTTAATTCTGAAGTTCCTTCTTTCAATTAAGACAATCAGTGGAAGATAAGACAAATGGCTACTAAGCACAACACCTACATTCTATGCCCACCTCGCTGGTGGTGTCACCACTAGGGGCTGCCTAGTTGGTGCTGATGCATAACAGGGCCTTTTGGGTGGTGGCTCCCCCTTTGTGGAGCATATCTGTGATTGTATCTGAATGGATTGAGGAAATGTGGTCCATGGTAACTATGACTGAGCTAAAAGAATACATATAAACCAGCCTAAGATTTATGGAAAAATGGATGTTTTTTGTAACAAGTGATAACTTTATCAATATCCAACAATTCTGCAGCGATTCTGGTTTTTAAGCAATTCTTGGTTTTATCTGCATGCTGCCTTGAATCCCATCAGGGGAAAAGGTGGAGAATGGACGAATGAATAAATGAACGAATGCTTTCTGCTGCTTTCAACCTGTAAAAACATTTATTTATGCTCTTCATTTTATTTAATAATATATCTATATATGAAAGATAAGCTTTTAACACTAGCTTACGTTTAGAATACTTTTTTTAAAAAAGGTGTGTTTTTGATGCATTTGCATCCTTTGGGACGAAGGGCGAGATATGGAGGAAATAATAACATGCATGCCTTTTCATTTTCTGTCTCCCAGAAAAATGGATCCATCCGCTCCTGGCTTTCAGGGGGCCCAGCCTCCTCCTTACACCGAGACAACCGGCATCCATGCTGCTCCGTACCCCCAGCCCTATCCCGTCCCAGGGACTGGACCTGGGCCTGGACCAAATATGAAAGGCCAACAGGTGCCGCCATATGGCATGCAACCTGGAGTCATAGGAGGTCCCCAACCAGGTAAGCCTTCAACTGCACCATCTTGGTCCACTTACACCCCACTTTCCTTCCGTCTGGAAGATTGAAGGCTATAAATATAAGGTCCCCCGGTACCCTCTGAGCAGAACTGGAGCCCACCAGTGCTCTAAATCAACAGCGCTATGATACCTCTTTAAACAGCCACGACTCCCCCCAAGGAATCCTGGGTAGTGTAGTTTGTTGAGGGTGCTGGGAGTTGTTCAGAAGCCCTCGTTCCCCTCACAGAGCTACGGTTCCCTGGGAATTGGGATTGGTGTTTAAAGCACTCTGGGAACTGTAGCTCCATGAGGGGAACAAGGGCCTCTGAAGAACTCCCAGCACCCTCAACAAACTACACTTCCCAGGATTCCTTGGGGGGAGTCGTGGCTGTTTAAAGAAGTAGCTTTCAAGAACTGGACTGAGGAGGAATGGTGGAGACCGCCCTCCCCTCCTGAACCTTCCCGAGAAGAGGAGGACAGTATAGATTCAGAACAGTGGTTTGCAGAAGGTCATAGTTCAGAGGCTGCAGAGGGGAGAATCTGGGAAATATTGGGAGAGGGGCAGGAGGAAGAAGAAGCACCAGGGACGAGACAGCTGACAAACTCAGTGTCTCTTGAAAGCATTCCTGACCCCTCACTCTCCCAGGACCCGGCGGGCATTGAGAGTAGGAGAACAGAAAACTCAGAGGCAGAAAGCACAGATCAACTGACGCAGGGATGATGTAGAATAGGAGAGGTGGAGGGGGTGGGACTTTACTTGGAGCAACGCCATTGTCTAAGAGAGATGACATTTCTACGTCTCTCTGTGAATATTGAATACAGTGGTACCTTGGTTCTCTAACTTAATCCATTCGACTTCTGAAACCATTCGAAAACCAAGGCGCGGCTTCCGATTGGCTGCAGGAGCTTCCTGCACCCGCGTTGGATGTTCGGCTTCCGAAAAACGTTCAAAAACCGGAACACACACTTCCGAGTTAGTGGCGTTTGGGAGCCGATTTGTTTGGGAGCCAAGCCGTTTTGAGTACCAAGGTACTCAAAAGACTCAGTAAGAACTCTTCTTGTTTCTCTACTTGGCTGCCACCGTGGGAGGGATAGGATTCCTTGAAGCCTGACAGTAGCGTAGAGCTTTAAACACACAGTGCAAACGGAACCCCAGGCCTTTATAGCATCAGCATGTGCCCCTCAGACTGAGCCCCATAACCCTCCAGGCACGGTTGGATTGCAGCTCCCATCATGGTCTCTGACCCTCGCCCAGGCGGAGCTGCAGCCTAGCAACATCCCCTGTTCCCTTCTTGGGAATTCAGCCATGTTGGCATCTGAAAGCCAGCAGCCGAGACAGAAGAGGAAGCCTCTTGCATCTTCCTTGAGATGGTTCGTTTTGATTTCCCATTGGGGTGGCTTTTCTCCCGGCGGATCTGAGCTTCTGGCGAGCCAGACGGCAATTTGCAAGGCACTTTTGCCCGGGTGTTGAGGAAGAGGGAGTCCGAGGTTGAGCAGGAAAGGAGTGTGACTCTCTCGCCCTTGTCTCTTTGCCTCCACTGCTGCCCCAGTTACTGTTCAGGCGGTTTACGTCCAGGCACCGCTGGTCTTCCACGACCGTCCCGTCCAGATGAACTGCCCTGCGTGTCAAAAAACCATTTTGACGCGCCTCTCGTACACCTCTGGGGCGCTGACCTGGCTGGCTTGTGGCGGCCTCTTCCTGGTGGGGTAAGTAGGTCCTTGTCAGCTGCCTTTCTATGCTGATCTCTTGTATGCATTAAGCTGGGGGCTGCTGAGCTGTGACCATTGGGCATGCTGGCTGTGGCCGATGGGAGAGAGGAGCCTCGCAGTTTCTTGGAGGGCCGCAGGTTGCCTGCTCCCACATTACATTGGGGGAACGTTCACAACCAACATTATTATTATTATTATTATGCATATATCAATCACCTTCTCCAAGGAGCTCCAAGTGGCGTATGTGGGCTCTCCCACTCCTCATGTAACGTCCACAACAACCCTGTAAAGTAGGTTAGGCCCAGAGGGAGTTACTCGCTCAGGGTCACCCAGTGAGCTTCACAGAATCTTGGGAGTTGTTGGGGTAGAAGGGGTCCCATTTGAGGGGATGCCAGGAAACAGGGAATTAAGTTCACATGTGGTGGGGGTGTAAATATGTACAATTTTTTTGGCAAAGGGTGTTTAAGGAGAATACAGAAATCACTGGGTTAAAGCTGACCAAAAGTCCAGAGGTAGTACTATTATCAATTTACAATGGGGTGGAAGGTTCGCAGGCTATGAAGGCCTCACTCACAGATTCATTGACAGCTGCACGAATTATGATAGCTAGGAAGTGGAAGGGGAAAGCAGAATATAAAATGGAAGAATGGTATAAAGAGGTGTGGGATATACAGTGGTACCTAGGGCTACAGACACTTCAGGTTACAGACGCTTCAGGTTACAGACGCTTCAGGTTACAGACTCCGCTAACCCAGAAATAGTACCTCGGGTTAAGAACTTTGCTTCAGGATGAGAACAGAAAACGTGCTCCGGCGGCGCGGCAGCAGCAGGAGGTCCCATTAGCTAAAGACCAGGGATGCTTGTACGCACGGAAGTTTGCATAGATGCTCCATCCACAGAACAGGAGTAGGATGTGATGGTGCTGTATTGCACTAGGAAACTGCCTTGAGCTGAGCCGGAATGTCCTTTCCCCCTTGCTCAGTATTGGTAACACCTGTAGCCGTGTTACTGATCTTATCCGGAAACGGCAGTCACGGAGTACCTGGGGCAAGAGTCTGTGTTCTGAAGGCTGCCTGCTTTCTCTCGACAGGTGTGTCGCCGGCTGCTGCCTCATCCCCTTCTGCGTGGATTCGCTTCAAGACGTTGACCACTACTGTCCCAGCTGCAACGCTCTTGTTGGCACCTACAGGCGTCTCTGAGCAACATTAGGCACATGCTTTTTTAAATATATGCTTTTTTCCCTTTTCTGGAGTTCATGGAAATATTTTTTTACGCTGTGCCTTTTTTTGCCTCTGAAGATTTGGGTGCAAGAAGAACCTTTGGCCAAGAAGTGGGATGTTTATCCAGCCTCACGTCCAACAAGTGCATGTTCTTTCCTGCAAAAAGCATGCCTGCACCGTCCACGGAAAAGTGTTGAACTGGTGCAGCATCTTAATTCATCTTTGTGCTTTGGCACTGTCCCACATTCTCCTCCTTTTTTGGCACTGAGAGGAAGCGTTGCAATTGGAAACCTCAATGATATTTCTCTCTCTCTGTTTCTGTGTGTAAATTGCTAAGGCCTTTTATGCAGCCTGAAGAGACCTTGGTTCCAAAATTCTCTCTCCCTGGGGAATGTTGATGAGATCCCTGTGGGAAAAAAATCCTGTTTTTTAAAGGTAGCTTCTAACAAAATGAGGCACTTCAGGGCTTCTGTAGCAACTGATTTCAAGTTGGTGGCCAGGTTTTTTAAATTTTATTTTGCAGGGGCCCTCAGAAACTCAGGTTGCCTCTTCAACTTTAGTGACCGCCTGATAGGTCCCTTGTTTGCTACCCGAACTTGGATGCTCCAAAATCTGTTTTTGTATTCATTTGGAGCTTTCCGAAGCATTTTAAAATTACTGCTGAGAAGTAAATGTGAGGAAATAGGTTCCAGGCCTAGAATTTTGTATTTCTGACCCAAATGATCATCTTTCTGCTAAGAGTCAAAGATCTCAGTGCCTCAGATCCTTCCCTCCTCTTTACATGCTTGGCTAGAGCAGGACCAGCTTCTGATGTGTCCATAGAGTGCAGAGCAAATCCTAGGGAAAATAATGTCCAGATAGGTGATCTAGATAAACCGATGCTGTGAATGTTGAGGCTAGATTCTCTGTTGGGGCGGCTATTGGAAATTTCCTGCCCCAGTGACCCGATAGGAGAAAAACTCTGCTTTTCTTTCGTCCCCACGGGCAAGTTGCAGGCCAGGCGAGCAGCTGCCAAACGAGTTCATCGCAAGCAGATGCAACAATGATGGAGATACTTGAAACCTACTTCTATTCTGAACTAAAAGTACAACGCAGTAGAGAGCTGAAGACTTGCCAGCAGGAATTGTGGGTAGTAGCATTGGATATATGCTTTTATTTCTCTTTTAACGAGTAGGATGCAGCTTGCAAAAGACTCTTAGCTCTGCCGCTGCAGATCTGGGCAAGTTTATCTACACCAGATTTGCCCCACCTAAGCCTGAAAGGAAAGCAGACCGCTGGAGATTTTTAAAAACATTGTTTTTTTTGGTGTGTGTTTTATTTTGCATAGGCTATACACACGTGATCTAGTTTGAATTAAACAACGGTTTCGTCCTCTAAATAAAAAGGTGCATCTTGTAAATTGGCTGTTAATGCTGGTTCTGTGCAGGATGAAGCCATCAGTGGCTCCTAACTCGGATGGCTGTGTTGCAGGGGCGGCATGCTTTGGAGGAAGAGTTGCTGCAACTTGCAGGAAGGGAGAGAGCGCTGTTGCACTGCAGTCCTCTTTGCAGGCTCCCACTTGGCCGCTGGGAAAACAGGATGCTGCAGGAGATTGGCATTGGCCTGATCCAGCAGCCTTCTGTTATTGTGTTCTGGCATTATTGAGCTCTAGAGAGGAGGGTTTGTGGCCTTCCAGAGCCTCAAGACCTCAATAAATCAGCCTGGAAAGCTACTCCTGACCTGAGGTCTCCTATCCACCCACCCTGAAGTGGAAACATTTCACCGATGCCTGACTGATTTCCTCGTCCAGCACGCTCTTCCTACTTTAGATTTCGCTTTCTGAATTGGGGGAATGGTGTGCTTTTGAGATCTGCAGGGGGCAAACTTTTTCTCCCATCTCCTCTTAAGTAAGGCAGCTCTACAGCAATATCTCTCACAGCCGAAGCCAAGCAGCCCTGTTTTTTGGGGGCAGATATCTGCTATGAGATGGACTTTGCCCTCAAGCAGCTGGTGCTTGCAAAATGCAGGCTTCCCCCCCTCCCCATCAGTCGATAGGGAGAAAGGTGGTTTTTTCCACCTCGTACGGGGGGGGGGGGATTTTGGCAGGCAGGACAACCTACCTGCCAGACATGTGGTTTTATTGTGATGTCATGTGACTGGCAGGTGTGCTGCCCCACCAGCCTATCAAAGCTGGACCTGGGCTGGGACCAGGATAAAGATCTGATCGCCGGAGTCAAAAAGGTTCCCCACCCCTGTCCTAGAGGAACTGGCATGGAAAGGGTGTGTGTGTGTGTGTGTGTGTGTGTGAGAGAGAGAGAGAGAGAGAGAGAGAGAGAGAGAGAGAGAGAGAGAGATAGATGCTGGAACAGACGGTCCTTTGGTCTGATGCAGCAAGGCAGGTCTTCTCTGCTGCTGCTGAAAATAAGCTATTTTGCCACATTCGTACAGAGGATGGGGAAGGCTCTCCTCTCTATCTGCCCACCTCCCCCCCCTTTATCATGTCTTAATGCAGTAATAATAATTTATTATTTATACCCCACCCATCTGGCTGGGTTTCCCCAGCCACTCTGGGCGGCTTCCAACAAAATATTAAAAATACAGTAAAACATCAAACATTAAAAACTTCCCTGAACAGGGCTGCCTTCAGATGTCTTCTAAAAGTCAGATAGTGGTTTATTTCCTTGATATCTGATAGGATGCCACCACCAAGAAGGCCCTCTGCCTGGTTCCCTGTAACCTCACTTCTCGCAGGGAGGGAACCGCCAGAAGGCGCTCTGGGCTGGACCTCAGTGTCCAACGATGGGGGTGGAGAAGCTCCTTCAGGTATACTGGGCCGAGGCCGTTTAGGGCTTTAAAGGTCAGCACCAACACTTTGAATTGTGCTTGGAAACGTACTGGCAGCCTTCAACCTGGAACAATGGAGGTAAAAGAGGAGCATTCTCCTTGCCACACCACATGAAACCGGTCACTCATGCGCCCTTTCACTTGGGATGCTGCAATTTGCATCCTGTGTCTCCAGCCTTGGCTGTAAGTTTCATGCAGGCCCAATTGGGAAAAAGAGGTTTGGATGACCAGCTTGTGCCCCACTGAGTTAGGGCCCCTTCCAACAGCTTCCCTTTTAAGAATGGGTTTCCCCTTTGATTAGAATCTCCCATGCTGATCACATGCTCTTGAAATCATGTGACTTTGACCTCAGTGTTGCCACAGAAGGGGATTTCCTAGCTTTCTTTGTTTGTTTGTTCCAGCTATCATGGGACTGTTCCTCGCATGACACTAAAAAGTTCAGAGCTTTGGTTCAAAACAAATTATCTTTGCTACCTTTGTCAGAAGACCATAGAAAAAGCAGCCCCATGGCCACTTACCGTTATTAAAGCACAGAATTACCTAAGCCTATTCATAAACACAGAAGTGCAACTTACAATTGTCCACAAAACCCACATATTTCACCTTGCAAAACCCAAATTAAACCACACACCCAAGGAGTTACAATAAGTCCAGTATTCCCATGTTGGGGAGACAAAACCTTCCACCTCTGTATATTGCAACCCTACTGTTATTTTCTGCAAGTTTACAAAGAATGAGGACAGTTCTCCAAACAAAAAGGTTTTTACTGAAAGCTCTTTCCATGAGTCATTACAAAAATACCAAAGTAAATTTCGATCTATTTAACTTTAGAGAATTGTATTTACAAAAAAAATAAATAACTTTATTCTAAGAAAAGACGTGTCTTTAAAAAAAGAAAAGAAAAAGTCAGCAACATAATTCAAAGTCTGCTGTTCCAAGCTCCTGGAGTGAGCATTTAGATGCACTGATAAGTTTGATTTTCCTTCCAGCTTCGCTTTGGTAAAATGACTGTGGAGAACACAAGAATTGTGGGTTTTTGTTGCAGATCCTTTCCGATTAGAAGAACACAACGGCGGGGGGGAGAAAGGACCTGAGACAGAAACGATTAGGCTGAATTTTCCTTTTTGGAACCACAACAAAAAAGCATTTTGCCTACAACTGGGAGTGATTCTTTCATCCACAGGGTTAAATATATGTGTATCTAATGGTACAGGGTGAAGTTATTGGGAATAATAAAACAAATCTCCATCTTCCTACGGCCAAGAACAAAAATCACCTGGTCTTCCATTTTCATTTTTTCCTCCATCCTCAAAACAAGCCAGAATTGCTCTAGATAAATGTATGCAATAAGCATGCTTTATCAGAATAAAAGGGAAATCCCTCGCTCCTCGCCCCAGTGCTGGAATTGGCAATTCTGCTCATGGTGTTAAAGTTTCGGACTGTGCTATTTCTATCCTCTCTAGCAGCCATCCTAAAGGTTTCTCCCTGCTGGGTTTTCAAAAGGAAATTATCCAGTCTCTCCAAGAGCTCCTTGCCACAAAAACAAGGATGGCTGAGCAATGTTTTAGGCACAAATTCAGCCAAGCCTCCTCCAAGGACTCAATTTGGTCGTGGCCAATGGGGTCAGAGGGGACTCAGACCAGCAGCATCCGAAGGGCCAAAATATAGCCACCCCTGCTCTAGGTAAATAGATGGGATTGGGGCTCCAAGAAACAACCTGTCCATCCCTACCGCTATGCTTGAAAACTAACCCTTTAAAAGGTCAGGAAAGTGTAGAGGAGAGGAGAGAAGTAGATTTTGTGCCTCTTGTGTCTCCATTACGTTGCAAGGAGTGGAATTGGTTGGCTGGAGTTTCTTGGGCAATGGATTTTGGCAGGTGCTGCCGTCTTCGTCCGTGTTTGGTTCGCCAGTCCTCTTCTGAGCTGCACGCCCAGCGAGAGAAGCCGCGAACCAGGCGTTAAACCAAGCCAGAGTCTTTGGCCATGCTGTAGAAAATGCCTCTCTTCTGGATTAGGCTGGCAGGGGAGCCATATTCCGCAATTTCACCCTTGTCAAGGACAATCACCCTAAAACAAAACAGAAATGTAGTCAGCACACTTGCAGTTCCAGGGGGGTGGGGTCAGAATTCAGAGATGCAGGGTCTGTTTTGATTCTCTGCTGGAAGTCAATGGGAGCCAAGGGCAAAATAGGGGGCAGAGGAGGAGGAGGAGGAGGAGAAGAAGAAGAAGAAGAAGAGGAGGAGGAGGAGTTTGGACTTGATATCCCGCCTTTCACTACCCGAAGGAGTCTCAAAGCGGCTAACATTCTCCTTTCCCTTCCTCCCCCACAACAAACACTCTGTGAGGTGAGTGGGGCTGAGAGACTTCAGAGAAGTGTGACTGGCCCAAGGTCACCCAGCAGCTGCATGTGGAGGAGCGGGGAATCGAACCCGGTTCACCAGATTACGAGTCCACTGCTCTTAACCACTACACCACACTGGCTAATCCCTGACTCAACACCGCTGGCCATGCACAGGGATAACCTGCAAATACAGTGGTGCCTCGCAAGACGAAAATAATCCGTTCCGCGAGTCTCTTCGTCTTGCGGGTTTTTTCGTCTTGCGAAGCAAGCCCATTAGAGGTTTAGCGGCTTAGCGCTACAGTATTAGCAGCTTAGCCGGCTTAAAGATCAGCTGATAAGTGGCTTAGCATCAGCTTTTAAGCGGCTTAAAGATCAGCTGATAAGCGGCTTAGTATCAGCTGTTAAGCGGCTTAAAGATCAGCTGATAAGCGGTTTAGCGGCTTGGGAAAAAGGGGGGGAAAGGAAAAAAACCCCGCAGGAACTCGCAAGACATTTTCGTCTTGCGAAGCAAGCACATAGGAAATTCGTTTTGCGAAGCACCTCCAAAACGGAAAACCCTTTCGTCTAGCGGGTTTTCCGTCTTGCGAGGCATTCGTCTTGCGGGGCACCACTGTACAAGTACAAATCATAGAGGGCAAGGCTATCAATGGCTGTGTTCTCCCTTCACTGTCAGAGGCAGTACGTTGGGAATCACAATTGGGGAGCCCTTTGGTCTCAGCTTGCAGGCTTCCCACGGACATCTGGCTGGCCGCTGCGAGGGCACCAGGCCGGACTAGATGGGCCACAGGCTTGATTCCGCAGAGCTGTGCCCCTGATCACTCCACACACCGACTTCCCTGCTGTTTCCCCTCCTTACATTAACCCTGCAGAGCTTTCGCTGCCCGCCCTATGCAACTATGGAGCTCACTTTTCACCTTCCCCAGCCTGTTTCTTAAGCCACCACTTCTGTTCTGCAGCCCCGTTTGCCCCAGTATTCACCTCCACCCCATCCACTGTGAGATGTGAGGTTACAGGGAACCAGGCAGAGGGCCTTCTCGGTGGTGGCGCCCGCCCTGTGGAACGCCCTCCCATCAGATGTCAAGGAAATAAACAACTACAGTGGTACCTCGGGTTACAGACACTTCAGGTTACAGACTCCGCTAACACAGAAATAGTACCTCGGGTTAAGAACTTTGCTTCAGGATGAGAACAGAAATCGTGCTCTGGCAGCATGGCGGCAGCAGGAGGCCACATTAGCTAAAGTGGTGCTTCAGGTTAAGAACAGTTTCAGGTTAAGTACAGACCTCCGGAATGAATTAAGTATTTAACCCGAGGTACAACTGTATCTCTTATAGCAAAATTCAAGCTTAAACTGAAGAAAGTAGGAAAAACCACTGCGCCGGTAAGATACAATCTAAGTCAAATCCCTTATGAATACACAGTGGAAGTGAGGAACAGGTTTAAGGATTTAGATTTGGTGGACAGAGTGCCTGAAGAACTATGGATGGAGGCTCGTAACATTATACAGGAGGCAGCAACTAAAACCATCCCAATGAAAAGGAAATGCAAGAAAGCAAAGTGGCTGTCCAATGAGGCCTTACAAATAGCGGGGGAGAGAAGGCAAGCAAAATGCGAGGGAGATAGTGAAAGATACAGGAAATTGAATGCAGATTTCCAAAAAATAGCAAGGAGAGACAAGAAGGCCTTCTTAAACGAGCAATGCAAAGAAATAGAGGAAAACAATAGAATGGGGAAAACCAGAGATCTGTTCAAGAAAATTGGAGATATGAAAGGAACATTTCGTACAAAGATTACCATAATAAAAGACAAAAGTGGAAAGGACCTAACAGAAGCAGAAGACATCAAGAAGAGGTGGCAAGAATACACAGAGGAACTATACCAGAAAGAAATGGATGTCTCATATACCCCAGGTAGTGTGGTTGCTGACCTTGAGCCAGACATCCTGGAGAGTGAAGTCAAATGGGCCTTAGAAAGCACTGCTAATAACAAGGCCAGTGGAAGTGATGATATTCCAGCTGAACTATTTAAAATTTTAAAAGATGATGCTGTTAAGGTGCTACACTCAATATGCCAGCAAATTTGGAAAACTCAGCAGTGGCCAGAGGATTGGAGAAGATCAGTCTACATCCCAATCCCAAAGAAGGGAAGTGCCAAAGAATCCTCCAACTACCGCACAATTGCACTCATTTCACACGCTAGCAAGGTTATGCTTAAAATTCTGCAAGGCAGGCTTAAGCAGTATGTGGACCGAGAACTCCCAGAAGTGCAAGCTGGATTTCAAAGGGGCAGAGGAACCAGAGACCAAATTGCAAACATGCGCTGGATTATGGAGAAAGCTAGAGAGTTCCAGAAAGACATCTACTTCTGCTTCATTGACTATGCAAAAGCCTTTGACTGTGTCGACCACAGCAAACTATGGCAAGTTCTTAAAGAAATGGGAGTGCCTGATCACCTCATTTGTCTCCTGAGAAATCTCTATGTGGGACAAGAAGCTACAGTTAGAACTGGATATGGAACAACTGATTGGTTCAAAATTGGGAAAGGAGTACGGCAAGGCTGTATATTGTCTCCCTGCTTATTTAACTTATATGCAGAATTCATCATGCGAAAGGCTGGGCTGGATGAATCCCAAGCTGGAATTAAGATCGCCGGAAGAAATATCAACAACCTCAGATATGCAGATGACACAACCTTGATGGCAGAAAGTGAGGAGGAATTGAAGAACCTTTTAATGAGAGTGAAAGAGGAGAGTGCAAAATATGGTCTGAAGCTCAACATCAAAAAAACGAAGATCATGGCCACTGGTCCCATCAGCTCCTGGCAAACAGAAGGGGAAGAAATGGAGGCAGTGAGAGATTTTACTTTCTTGGGCTCCATGATCACTGCAGATGGTGACAGCAGTCACGAAATTAAAAGACGCCTGCTCCTTGGGAGAAAGGCGATGGCAAACCTGGACAGCATCTTAAAAAGCAGAGACATCACCTTACCAACAAAGGTCCGTATAGTTAAAGCCATGATTTTCCCAGTAGTGATGTATGGAAGTGAGAGCTGGACCATAAAGAAGGCTGATCGCCGAAGAATTGATGCTTTTGAATTATGGTGCTGGAGGAGACTCTTGAGAGTCCCATGGACTGCAAGAAGATCAAACGCATCCATTCTTAAGAAAATCAGCCCTGAGTGCTCATTGGAAGGACAGATCCTGAAGCTGAGGCTCCAATACTTTGGCCACCTCATGAGAAGAGAAGATTCCCTGGAAAAGACCCTGATGCTGGGAAAGATGGAGGGCACAAGGAGAAGGGGACGACAGAGGACGAGATGGTTGGACGGTGTTCTCGAAGCTACCAGCATGAGTTTGACCAAACTGTGGGAGGCAGTGGAAGACAGAAGTGCCTGGCGTGCTCTGGTCCATGGGGTCACGAAGAGTCGGACACGACTAAACGACTAAACAACAACAACACAACTGTATCTGACTTTTAGAAGACATCTGAAGGCAGCCCTGTTTAGGGAAGTTTTTAATGTTTGATGGTTTAACGTGCTTTTAATATTCTGTTGGGAGCTGCCCAGAGTGGCTGGGGAAACTTAGCGAGAGGGACGGAGTATAAATAAATAAATAGACTATTAATAATAATAATAATAATTTCATCTATATCCTCTCACACGAGGCAGCTGAGGAATGAAAAAGGGAGAAATTTAAGTACAGCTGGAAGGGAAGAACACTGAGAGGAAAATGGTGACTGTTTAAAACAACATAAATAGTTTGAGTAAAGCAAGCCTGGAGGTACACTGGAAGCAAAATGGCAGTTTTAAACAACAGCAGCGGTTTCAGTAAAGCAGGGATGAAAGAGCACAAATGGGTTGGTTTTTTTGTTTTGTTTTGTTTTGTTTTTAAAGGAGAGAGAGAGATGTATACAACACAGAAGCTAACACAATAGAGCCTTTACAAACTCTCTTCTCCTCAGATACTCGCATGGTTCATCCACTTTTACCGTGTATAGTCCATGATCGTGTTCAACCGGTGTGCTATCGTTAGGACTGTGCAGCCCTCAAACTGCGTCCGGATTGTTGACTGTATGAGGTCATCTGTTTCAAGATCCACGGCCGCTGTAGCTTCATCTAAAACCAGGATTTTGGATTTCCGAAGCAAGGCTCGAGCAAGGCACACCAGCTGTCGCTGCCCAACACTGGAGACAGAGAGTAAAACACACACAAAAACTTTAAAAATTGAATCCCTAACAACAGTCCATTTCAGGGCCAAATAGCTAATTAATCATGTTTTTAAAGAACCTACTTGAATTAGCCACTTTCACTTTTATTTCGAAAAGAAAAAGCAGCTGCAAATGTGAACCCATGATCTGGGACCCAGAAAAGGCCAACCTTTTGTAAAAAACAAAATCTAAACAGCTTATTTAAAAGCTACTGCACAACTCAATTCAACAGGCTCTTTCGAAAAATATCTAACATCATTCCTTAGTATTCTATGTCCAACAGGAGGCAGAAACCTGCATTCTGTGATCATGAGGAAAACAACCAAATAGATCCTCTGTTAAAAAGCCGGGCAAAACCCTAAGAACCAGATTTCGCAGGATTTCGCTTTGATTTGGATTCCAGTACAGTCATACCTTGGAAGTTGAACAGAATCCGTTCCGGAAGTCCGCTCGACTTCCAAAACCAAAGCACGGCTTCTGATTGGCTGTAGGAAGCTTCTTGCAGCCAATCGGAAGCCGTGGAAGCCCCTTCAGACGTTCAGCTTCCTAAATAACGTTCGAAAACCAGAACACTCCCGGTTTTTGATCGCTCGGGAGCTGGAACATTCGACTCCTAAGGTTTTCAGGAGGCAAGGTATAATTGTATTAGACTTAAGCTTTTTGTGCAATTACGTGTCCTCACCCAATGCTCCTAAAGTGAGGACTCTTTTACGGCCCAAGGGAGTGTGCCATTACAACATATTATATGGACAAAATGTGGGTTTTGCACTGAGAGGTTAGGGGTTTTTTTACAGTGTGGGACTTGGTCTTAAAAGAAGTGAGAGTGAAAAGGGTATCCAAACGTTGCTACCCTCAGCCAGACTTGCACACACAGATGCCCAGGGTTCCAGAATGGCACAAAGAGGTTAATGTTGTAGCTCAGTGTTTCTCAATCTTGGGTCCCCAGCTGTTGTTGGACTACAACTCCCATCATCCCTGACCACTGGTCCTGCTAGCTAGGGATGATGGGAGTTGTAGTCCAACCAACAGCTGGGGAAACCTAAGATAGCGGGATTGGAAAGGAAAATAAAAAGGGGCAGAAACTGTACAATACCTGAGGTTCTCTCCTCCTTCGGAACACTCGTGGTTGAGTTTATCAGGGAGTGCCGAGACAAAGTTTTTCAAGTGAGCGAGTTCCAAAGACGTCCAGACGTCTTCATCGGAGTATTGGTCGAAAGGGTCCAGATTCATGCGCAGGGAGCCAGAAAACAAGATGGGGTCCTGTTTGGATACAGAAAGCCATCAATCAGGTCTGCAGTGCACATTTCAGAAATTTATAATAAGGTAGGTGTGCGCATTAGTAGTCTACAACAGAGGTAGACAACATGGTGCCCTCAAAATGTTGCTAGCCTACAACTCCCATGCTCCCTGACCGCTGGTCATTCGGAGAGGGGCTGATGGGAGTCAGAACCCCATTTCCTCTCTCCACCTACACGCAAATGCTTCCAATGCAGGAAACGCTTGAGCCACAAGCGAAGTGCCCTCCAAGAGACCTCCTTCCTGCCTGGGTATCTAGAAATCAGTCTTGGCAGCAGGACTGGGCAGATCTCAGCAGAGGTCATGTCCATGGGACTAGTGGGTTACACACTAACAAGAATGCAATGTGGGTGTACTGTAGGAACCAGAGGCCACCGGTTGTGCGTCCAAATCTTTTCAGAAATTAATGTGCACATTTGCACTTTACGAAGAAACAAGAGGAGCAAGCAGCTGCTAGAGCATTCCTTTGTAGGCACAAGTTTAATCTCCTCTTAGGTTCATGCGTATATATCCTGTTGGCATCCGTCTGTCTCGATACGACAATGGAGTGCGCCTCTGGGAGTGAAGTCAAACTGCTGCGCTTGCAGCACCGAAGAGACCTCCCCATGATGGAAGCCTGGGCAGTGTGCATGGGGGTCTTGGGCTGCCCAGACGACAAGACTCCCCTCTCAGCCCAAAGGAAAGCAGAGCAAGACGTTTGGCACCAGCATGGATGCGGGAGTTGCTGGAAGGAGGCGTACAAGGCGCCGTCCAACCAACTAGATTTGTGTAGGGTTTACCCCTTAGCCTTCTTCTCTTCCCCAAAGATATCCTGCAACAGGTTAGGATCAGAGTTTTCCTTCTCCTAGATGGGCTTCCTTCCCAGGTTGATGAGGCCCACCTGCCCCTTAAAAAGGTAAAGGTAAAGGGACCCCTGACCGCTAGGTCCAGTTGTGGCCGACCCTGGGATTGCGGCGCTCATCTCGCTTTACTGTCCGAGGGAGCCAGTGTACAGCTTCTGGGTCAAGTGGCCAGCATGACTTAAGCCGCTTCTGGTGAACCAGAGCAGTGCATGGAAACACCATTTACCTTCCCGCCGGAGCGGTACCTATTTATCTACTTGCACTTTGGTGTGCTTTCGAACTGCTAGGTGGGCAGGAGCACGGACCGAGCAATGGGAGCTCACCCCGTCACGGGGATTCGAACCGCCGACCTTCTGATCGGCAAGCCCTAGGCTCTGTGGTTTAACCCACAGCGCCACCCGCATCCCTACCTGCCCCTTACATGTGTGCAAAAAAAAAAATGGGGCTCCACCCTCCATCTACAGAGCAACTTCAGAGACCATTTGAAAGTAAATTCATCAAGAACGTATATGAGCCAACACACAAGCTGGGCTTGCCCTTTACTCATGCCAGCAAAGACCAACTCCCTCCCGAAACTGCCTTGATCAGCCATCTGACATGGCCTTGCAAATATTTGCTTCCCCTCTGCGCTTGCGTTCTCTCTCTTGGCACCGCCTGAAATGCTTTGGCAGAGAAACTGCATATGCATGTAGAAAGCAAATAAAACCAGGCACCCATTAAGATCGGTGGACTCACGCCTGTAACGAGGCGGCATAAGCAGTGAACACAACCAAAGGAGTTAGAAAGCACGGCTCCTAACGAAATAGTCAAATTGTGGGCATGAGCAGAGATTCCCGCTTACCTGGGGGATAATGGTGACCTTGAAGCGAAGGTCGTGGAGCCCAATCTTTGCAATGTTAATCCCATCAATGAGAATCTCCCCTTCGGCTGCCTCGTTGATGCGGAACAAGCCGAGAGTGAGGGACGACTTTCCAGCTCCTGTTCTCCCAACGATGCCCACCTATTGAGAAGGGCAGAAGGGGGTGGGGGAGGGGAAGGAGCCACGATGCTCTTAGTTCTGGAAAGCAAGGCTGGAGCCAAGAGGACGAAGGATGCAGGCTGTATCTGAAGGGGATCTTCCTGCCCATCCCCTCCAGACTGAGGAAGGAAGAGACTTCTTTTAAGAAACCTGGACTAGCAAGCTCTGCTTGGAAAACACTGCAGCTCTGCAAAGCGGGAAAGAAGCTCCATTTGTTATGGCACGGCCAGGGAACACCTGCGGCCGAGCCGGATGCTGAAATGCAGTTTGAATCATCCCTGCTGATGGGAGCAGAAGTGCCACACAACAGCTGAAAGACCACAGGTTCCCTGGCCCTGCTTTATGGACTCCCTGGCACACAGGAGTCTTGGAAAACGGAACGCCCACCCTTGAAACTGCTGTTTTAAGTTTCAAGTTGCCTGAAGACATGGAGAGGCAATGGGCGAGGGGTGTGTGTGTGTGCGCGTGTCCTTCACATCTTCAAAAAGTAACATGCCAGGCAGCCCTAAAAAAAACCCCTCTATCTTTGATACTCTTCTTGATCAAGGCTCCTTTATTGTCTCCTCTCACCTCCCACAAATTCTGCCTTTCCAGCTTTCCCTTCCACACAGTTTCTTTTCAGCCTCAGCTCTTCCTTTATTTATTAAATTTATATATGTCGCCCAGAGATCACAGGGCGGTTTACCACATTAAATGCAGAATGAAAACACAAAAATATTTACAGTAAATCAAAACCCTCCTGCAAACACCTTTGAAAGGCCATAGATTTTACCAAGGCCTGGTTGAAGAGGAACTGTTTTTGCCTGGCACCTAAAGATACGCAACGAAGGTGCCAGGTGAACTTCCCTGGGGAGAGAATTCCACAGATGGAGAGCCACTACAGAGAAGGCCCTGTTCTCGTGTTGCCACCCTCCAGACATCACATGGAGGAGGCGCAAGAAGAAGGGCCTTAGATGATGAATGCAGTGTCAGGGACTGTTCATATGCGGAGAGGTGGTCCTTGAGATACTGCGGCCCTGAGCCATTTAAGGCTTTGTAGAGGCTCCACTTCCCTCCCTCCTCCCCTTTCCTACAAGAGCACCTTCTCTGCCTTCTTAACTCCCCCCCCCGGCTTCAGTGTCCATTAATGAGTCCCGGCACTCACTTTTTCTCCTCCATCTATGGTGATGTTGATGTCCCTCAGGACCAAATCCATGTTGTCCCTGTAGCGAAGGCCATAGCCTTTGAACTCCACCTTGCCTTCGTGGGGCCAGTTGCTTGGTGGGGCCGTTTGCTTAATGGTCCACTCTGCCTGAGAGAAAGAAAAAAAGCCAGGGGCTTCCATTATTAGCCTCTGATGTGCCACCTAGTAGACCCCAACAGCATGGGGGAGAACCACCTCCCATCATCCATGACTGTAGAAAGTAGAATGCAGTTGGAAGGGACCACAATAATCATCTAGTCCAAACCCCTCTAATGCAGGAATCTTTTGCCCAATGTGGGGCTCGAACCCACGACCCAGAGATTAAGAGTCTCATGCTTCCTGCTCTGCTTGTGAGCTTCCCGAGAGCCACGGCAGAAAACCAGGATGCTACTCAAGATGGACCTCTGGTCTGACTTAGCAGGGCAGCTATTCAGTGACTTCCTTTCTTCTCTTCCCATGGTTCATTTTGCATATCATAAATCCCTGCATTCTTTACATAAACCAAACCATTCAGTATTCCATTATTACATCCATCAAAACTTATTTACACTGTTGAATTGATCTTAATGCTGCCAGCGTTTCTAAGTGTACACAAATCCCTCCCATATATTCAATAAACATTTTCCAATCTTCTCTAAACGCACTTTCTTCTTGTTTTCTTATTTTATATATTGTCTGCAAGCTGCGCATATTCCATCAGCTTAAGTTGCCGTTCTTCTTTAGTTGGGACCTTGCTCGTTTTCAGTTTGGGGGCTAATGAAACACGGGCCGCAGTAGTGGCATACATAAATAGCCTTTTTTTGGGGACACCTGGGAATTTCCATTTGAATTATCCCCAACCAATTTACCAGTATTTTATACCACCATATCACCCCCAGTCCTCTGGCATAGCAACCTGGAGCCAAATGCTACATTTTTGGCCTCAGAAACAGAGTTGCTGTGCATAGTAATAATTGCAGTAGTAATAATAATAATAATTTTATTATTTACATGCCGCTCATCTGATTGGGTTGCCCTAGCCACTAAAAAAGACAATAAAGCATCAACCATTAATATCTTCCCTGTACAGGGCTGCCTTCAGGTGCTTTCTATAGGTCACCCCTGTGCAGATCCCGTTTTTCCAATAAAGAGTTAACTTCACTTTGTCCATGTGATTTACTGCTGGCTGGCTCCTGACACCCATCATCTGAAGCCCAGTGTCCACTTGATGCACCAAATAAAGCAGAGTTAACGTCACTGTAAATCCCATGGCCTCTTTAAAGCAGAAGGACGAATATGGCTGCATCTGCAGAATGATCAATTCTAAAGGGCATCAATGGGCTTTAAAATTCAGCCCTCATCTGCTGGGAGACCAGCAGGAAATGCAGATCCCTGTACCTGGGTAACCTACAGACTTACAATGCACCCTCAAAACTGCAGCTAGAGGAGCGGTCTTAAACTTACCTCTTTCTCCTTCTCGGAGTATTCTTTGACTCTTTCCACAGCAACGATGTTTGTTTCCATCTCGGACGACATGCGAACCAACCAATTCAAGTAAGTGGTGATCTAACAAAAACAAACAGAGGCCCCAAATATGTGTTTTGCATACATCCCAGCAAGCTGCCCATTCAAGTTCTGCCTGCTGAACACACTTGAAGACTTGTGTATTGTTTCAGACGTTATCTCCTCCTCTATCTCCGGGTGAAAATTTTGAAATGGTTTTGGCAAACCATTAAAAAGTCTACATCTTCATGAAGCACTGCCTTGTTTAACAAGGAGGGCTGAGTTGGTCTCAGGCATGCTGTCTTTGTTTATAAGAGCCAATCTGCACATGCAGAAAAAGAGAGACAGGCTCAGATCAAGCAGAATTTCAGAATTGCAAGAGGAAAGACCTAATGTCTGAATGTTAATTCCCAGACTCAGAGCACAGACAGAACAGCTCCTCGTTTGGGGGCTGGAATTGTTTTATTGCAAGTACTATCTTTTTAACACAAGTATCTTACCTGGGCGGCCGGGGATGAAGAAGAGAAATTCCACAGTGGAGCTACTGTTGCATCCAAAGCCCCCTGCCAGGTCAGGTGGTGGTTGGGAAGGGGGTCTGGTGGCTTATTTTTCCTCACCCCTGCCCACAGATTAACCAGGCCAGCTCGATGAGTGGCATGGTTTTAGGGCAGCGATTGAGAACCTTCAGATGTTATGGACTACAGCATCCATCATCCCTGACCATAGCTGTCAACGTTTCCCTTTTTTAAAGGGAAATTCCCTGATTCAGAATAGGATTCCTCGCAAGAAAAGGGAAAAGTTGACAGCTATGTCCCTGACCATGCTGGTGGGGGCGGTGATGGGAGTTGTAGTCCTAGCAACATCTGGAGGGCCAATTCCTGTACTAGGGCCAGGGGACTGCATAGATTCTATGGGTCCACTGCCTCCTTGTATATACCCTGCCTCCATCACACTGAGACTGCCTCCAGCGATTGACCTCACTTTCTTGCAGAAGAGGGTGCCTACAGCACCCTCAGTCGCCTTCCCAGAAAGCAACAGGATTGCTCCCTTAACATCTCCTAACCTTTCGCTAAATGCTACCTAAAAAGCACAACTTGCTGAATTATCTATGTAGCTTTACAAAACGCTTAGCCACCAAGTATGAAGAACTGCACCTCTCAAAAAGGTTTTCTTAAAAAGATTATTAGGCTTCTGCTCAAAAAGCAAACCCAGCCTGTTTTCCATGAGCTACCTGCAGCGAATAGGAGATGGAGAGCCCGACCAGTCCAGGGCTCAGGCTATTGCGGGCGATGACGGCGAAGAGAGAGGCGAAGAGGACGATGAAGTTCCCAACGTACTCCAGCCGGACTGCGAGCCACCTGGAAGGAAAGAGGGGGCTTCTTTTAATACCGACCAGGCCCTTGCAGGCCACCTGCGTGAGGACGGGGGGGGGGGGGGGGAGAGAGCGATCCCTGCAGGGCAGGGGGGAGAGAGAAACAGGGGGAGCAGTATACACTGGTGGTCAAAATTGTGGAAAACTTTTGGGAAAGGGTTTGATGGCTCATAACACCACCTTTTTTTCTTTTTTCTTTTTGAGTAATGCCATAAAATTATATATCAATGGAAATATAATTTAATGAGGAATGTACTGCAGGCTCGGATCGAGCATTTCCTGGTGGTCATCCAGCAGATGAAGGCAGAATTTTAAAGCCCATCAACGCCCTTTGGAATTGATCTTTCTGCAAATGCAGCCATATTAATCTTTCTGGTTTAAAGAGACCAGGGGGTTTACAGTGCCATGAGCTCCTGTAGGCAAAAACCTGCTTTATTTGGTGCATCAAGTGAGGACAGGGCAGTGGTCTTCAGATGATGGGTGTCAGGAGCCAACCAGCTGTAAATCACATGCGCAAAGTGAAGTTAAAAAAGTGGTGCTATGAGCCATCATTGCCAAAACACCTGAGCGGCTCTCTAAACACTCCTTTTTCTGGTTATTTGGCTATAACGTTTGATAGAATACAGATAATTGAACAAACATTATTACATTACATTCTTCATTAAATTATCTTTCCACTGATACATAATTTTATGGTATTACTCCAAAAAAAGTGGTTTACGAGCCATCAAATCTCGGAAATACACTTTTTCCATGATACAATGAATTTCAGTTGGGGGGATTTGAGGAAGTCAGATAACAATGAAAGTTAAAATGGGTTTTGAAAGTAATATGTGTTTATATTTTTCTTTCTTTTTTCTTTTAGTATTGTGATGTGTTTTTTTGTGTGTGGTTTATACGTCACATTTGTTAGAAATGTGAAAATCAATAATTTTTTGGGAGGAAAAAAAAAAGGAAATACACTTTTCCCAAAAGGTTTCCCCAATTTTGGCTACTAGTGTATATGGGCGTGTAGTTGGTTGTGAAAAGCTTGCACATGGAATTAAAAGCTGGTCGACACTTAGGAAACAGATCCTCAGGATCAGCTGACATGCTCAAGGTGCCCCAATTTTAACTAGCGGTTGGAGTTTGGGACTCTGGAACGATTCTGCTCGCCTCCACAAATGTCCAGCAGAGGGCCTCAAATTCTGAACCAGCTCCACTGGAGTGTTGTTGGAGCTGAAGGACCAATGTGTATGAAATCCCCCAGGTACAGTGGTACCTTGGGTTACAGAAACTTCAGGTTACAGACACTTCAGGTTACAGACTCCGCTAACCCAGAAATAGTACCTCGGGTTAAGAACTTTGCTTCAGGATGAGAACAGAAATTGTGCGGCGGTGGTGCAGTGGCAGCAGGAGGCCCCATTAGCTAAAGTGGTACCTCAGGTTAAGAACAGTTTCAGGTTAAGAACGGACCTCCAGAATGAATTAAGTTCTTAACCTGTACCACTGTACTCATACAGACTGGTAGCAGGGAAAAGATTTCTTTAACTCAAACCCAACGTTCCTTGGGTCGTCCACCCACCTGTTGGCGACAATGCTTGGGTAGTAAGCTTTTTGGTTTTCGTCCACCTTCACGTCGCTCTGCTTTATGAAGCGCTTCTGCTCTTCGAAGGCTCGGATGACGCTGACCCCCAGCAGCGTCTCGTTGAAGTGGGAGTAGACCGGGGAACGGCTGACCGACTCCAGGCGCTTCAGCTGGCGGGAAGTGGCTACGTAGAAGCGCTGGAAAGGGCCAGGTCAGAGAAATCAAGGCGATGGGTAAGAGGCCGCTCGCACCCACTTTGCTCCTGATAGCCAACGCGAACTACAACTCCCACCAGCCCCTCCCAGTGCGGCCAATGCTCAGGGATGATTGGGAGCTGTAGCTGGGGATGTCAGGGAATCCTGACGGAAACAGGAGTGGAAACTGTCCTGTGTCTGGGATGCAAATCAATCCAGGGAATATGATCCCTCTAAGCTGCTGCAGCTGCTGCTTTTCAGCCCATAAACTATATATAAACGCTGACTTTCCTGACCTCACCCATTTGCACTGTGTTTCCCCTGCACTGACATGAATGACCCATGCACTGAAATGACTGGGTGTGGAATAATGTAATGCTGCAATGAAATGTGTAATTTATGACATAGTCAATGATGTGACATTTTGCTGCAGCAGACACAAAGATGCATAATGTTGTCAGAAGCTGAACTGCAGCGGACTGGAAACTGCGCTGCATGCAACAAACACGCACTGCTTCACTACCACAACAGGAAACCCGCTTCAATTCTGCACCCGTTCATCCTGCCGTTTAAGCGAGGATTAAATTTCCTGCTGTCTCTGTGCATGGGGATGGGGAAGCAGAATGGTGAATTTGTATCTCTGGCATCGATAAATATGAAGGATGCTTGCTGCCTTTTGGGAAAGGACCTCTACATATATTATTTTCACCCTAGAAGCCAGACGTTGTGCTTCCAAGATGGAGCTGGAACTCCTCCATGATGGAGAAGCAGCTGCAGGCACAATGAACTGGCCAAGTGAGGAAAGAGAAATATGGAGGCCTCTAGCAAATGAACTAATAGTAGGAGTTATCTTCTGCTCATCTGAATGGGTCGCCCCAGCTGCACTGGATGGCTTCCAACAAATATAAAAACACAATAAAACATGAAACATTTAAAAATGTCCCTATAAAGACCTGCCTTCAGATGTCTTCTAAAAGTCAGAAAGTTGTTTATTTCCTTGACATATGACGAGAGGGCGTTCCACAGGGCAGGCGTGACTACTGAGAAGGCCCTCTGCCTAGTTTCCTGTAACTTCACTTCTCGCTATGAGGGAACCACCAGAAGGCCCTCGGCGCTGGACCTCAGTGTCCAGGCTGAACGATGGGGATGGAGACGCTCCTTCAGGTATACTGGGCTGAGGCCGTTTAGAGCTTTAAAGGTCCTAACAAATGCACCCTCAAGGAAGGGCAATGAGGTTATATTAGTTATATGCAGTGCATACCCCTAAACATTTTGTGAATCTTTGTACTTTTGTCCATTACCTGTATTTATTTTTCCTGATTTGAACTATAAAATGGTGATCTTCTTGAGTCAAAGTGAGAGTACCCCTAAACATTTTTTTAAAGAAAAAAAGCACTGGTTGTATGATTACAGAAGAAAATCCCCAGCATTGACTCTGGGAACTATGAATTTTCATTATACAGTGGTACCTCGGTTTTCGAACACCTCCGTTGACGAACGTTTCGGTTTTTGAACGCCGTAAACCCAGAAGTAAATGCTTCTGTTTTTGAACACACCTCGGAAGTCAAAGATGTCACACAGCTTCCACCAAGTGCAAGGTCAAGAGGCCTAGCTGTCGGCTATTGAGTTTTCGGTTTTCAAATGTTTCAGAACTCGAACGGTCTTCCAGAACAGATTACATTCGGAAACCGAGGTACCACTGTAGTTAGATTTTGTTTATTTGCTTGCAGCACTTTGACATCAATTCATCTATTTTTGATATCCTGCTTTGTATATTTAAGTTGAGCAGTCACTGATCCAAGACTGGTTCTGCCAAGAAGTACCTTGTGCCTGCCCAGCAGACTCTTATTTGGTTCCTTCACCAAATAAGCAATCTGAGAAGCTTTGGTTACTTGGCTAATGAGCAGTAAACCTCCTAAAAGGTGTGACGGAGAAAGACACACAGCGAATGTCTGGCGTAAGTGTGGCCAGCTTATTCTTTGATGGAAGAGCACACAAGAGGGGTTGTGATTATATTAGAAGGAGCGGCACCCACTGCTATGCCACACCAACCTGGTGTCTTCATGATGCTCTGGACTACAACTCCCATCATCCCTAGCTAGCAGGACCGGTGGTCAGGGATGCTGGGGGTTGTAGTCCAACAACGACTGGTGGGGAACCATGTTTGACAAACACTGGCTTAAAGGACTGAATGAAGATTCCCGCTTGAAGCGGCAGCCAACTGCGGAGTTTGCTAACACGGTCTCACCAAGAACCAGCTTGGCTAAGGGGAAGTCTGAGGAAAAGCTGGAACCAGGGACAAGAGCTTTGCATACCTGTACAAAGAAGTAGATGAATCCCAGGGGAGGAATGACCACAGCAGCCACTGGCGTGGCCAAGAGGATAATGATGCAGGCCCCAATGACATTAAACATGGAGCCCATGAACATCTTGATGATCTGGGGGATGAGGGAGTCAATGGTGTCGATTTCTTTGGAAAACCGGTTCACCAAATTCCCACTGGGCGTCCGCTCAAAGAAGCTCATGGGGCACCGCAGAATGTTGTGGAGCAGGTTGACGTGGAGACGGCGGGAAGCAAATATCCCTCCAATCGAAACAGCCATGGAGTAGCCAAACACGGCAATACCTTTAGGGAGACAGGCACAAAAAACACCCTTAAGTGACGGTGTCTTTCCCTTCAACTTTGCTTATGAACGAACGGACTGAAGACCTTATTAACACAGCGGGCTCGTGAATGGAGCCTACCACTGTCGAAAACTACTCCACAGTTCCGCTGAAGGATTTTCTTCTGCAGGGTTTCACATTTTGCGTTTGCCATGAATTTCTTTTCTGCAAGGAGCTGAATAAAGACAGGGATGTCCTGAGAGACTGTGGGGCGGTCTAAGGTTTAAGGGGTGCATGTGTGAGGGGGGTGGGGAGAGGAGAGAGGTGCAGGCCCTAAACGGGGGGGGGGGGGGGGAGGCAATCCATCTATTGCCTTCTGTTCTGTTATTGTCGTGGTGCCCCTCGGCTCAGCACCCAGTGCCAGAAAACTGGTTGTGCCCTGAGGAGGAGCTAGAACTTGGGCTAAGCCCTTCTGCCTCCCAGACCACAGGAATCCCCAACTCAGAATACACTTCTTTCTAAAGGGTTTACCATTCTCTGCAGAAGAAAGCCAGGAAGCAGCCCGACCCCAGCTTCCCTCCTGTCTGTGATCTTTCGGAGCCACGACCTGGACTGAACCCTTCCCAGCCACTGAGCTCTTGGAAAAGCTTGGAGAAACGTTGCCAAACAGAATCAAATGTCGCCGTGTCCTCAAGCAAAGGGTGCTCCTGCCAGGAGGCCCAGGGCAACTCCCTTGACGCCTATTCGAGGTTGCTGACTTACGTGCAAAGGCCCCCTATTCCAGGCCCCACAAACAAGGGGAGAAGGAGGAAACCAGCAGGATTGCTACTGCAGGCAGTGAACACGAGCACGTGACAGGAGCCCTTCTGGATCAGGCCAAAGGACCACCCATCCCTGCCTCCTGTTCTCACCGTGGCCAGCCAGATAAGGGAACGGCCATAGTTCAGGGGCAGAGCATCCGATTGTTAGCAGGAGGTCCCCAGAATGCAGGTGCCAGGGAGTATTGAACTGAGCTTGATGGACCAATGGTCTGCTTGTCTTAAGGCAGCTTCCTGCATCCCTACACCTATGAGAATCCCCAAATCAGGACTGCAAGCCGGGCCCAAACTGGAGGTGGAGGAACTCCTTCAGAGGAGTTGGATAAACTGAGCAAGGTGACGAGAACCAAGAGAGATTGCAAGCAGACCTTGAGACGTTCCCAGCGCTCCGTACACTCCCAGCCGGAGGTCTGTGTGCTGCTGCGTCCCATTGATAACAGGGTCGTCCGTCCACAGGCTTAGCCAGTAGTTGGAAGCAAGTGAGGCTATGTGGTTGCAGAGAAAAAGGAAGATGCTCATGAAGGTGATGCAGAGTCCAATGGCTTTCATGTACTCCCAGTAGACAGCCGGCTTCACCTAAACACAGAAGGGATCGGACTTAGCACACCACTCTTGGGACGCAACTCCCAACTTTGACTCTTAATTCGCTCCCGCCCTGCCAAAATCCTTCGCCCCTCTTGCTCTGCATAGGCTTCTTAGTCGTCTAAACCCTCCACGGTCCCCCCTCTCATCTCACTTGGTTTCTTTATCCCGACACGACCCCTCTGGGTGCTGTCGAGCTGCCAGCCGTCGAGACAGGTGCTGTGGGAAGCCCACAGGCGGGACCCGAGTGCAAATCCCCGTCGGGCTCAAAGTTCGAGGGGGAAACAGAGTCAGCGCTTGTGCTAGCCCATGAAGAGCTGCCAAGAAGGTCCTGGAGCTACGATTTCTAACACCCGGAAAAGGAGGAAGAGCACACTCCAAGTGTCACTAAGACCTGTTTCCAGAGAGGAGAGTGCTTGGGGGGGTGGGGAGTGCTGCAGAGGCGGTTTTATTAATGTGCTCAACAACAACAAAATGCACACAACATCAAATGTATGGGGGGGTGGCAAAACATATACTAACCAACCACTTATTTTGTAGTTCTTGGACTTGGTATAAAACCATACAAACTTCAAATTAATTAATCTTATTTACAAAGTTAATAACGAAAGTATGTCTATGTGCCGTTTCGTTTTACCCTGATGTCTAAAAACCATGTAAAAATCAAACTTGACAATCATAATTAAATTGCAGGGACAAATTGTAGCAAACGGCCGTTTTGGCTTCCACCACCAGCTCCTCAGAAGCTACTTTAAAAGACTAGTAGGACGAGTGCAAGGGCTACACGTCTCTGCCTTGAAAGTACCACACTGGGGGTGGTTCAATCATAAAGCTGTGAGAGGTGTTGTTAAATGTGGTAAGACTCGCCTAACAAATGGGATACCGTTGGGGGAGAGTATTGTGAACTGCCCTGAGATCTAAGGACGAAGGGCAGTATGCAAACTAATAATAAAAATAAATATTTCAGCACTATGCCCGTTTAAGTAAACAGAAGCTGTGCAAGCAGAACAGAAGCTGTGCAAGCTTGAACTGGAAAGCTTTCCCTCCAGCACCAGATTATATTCCATATTACCATGCACATTCTACTGGCATTTTCCTGCTTTCAGGCCCCAAACGCACAAGGAGAGCAAGGATGGGCAACCTCCAGAAGTTGCCCTCCAGATGTTGCTGGACTACAACTCCCATCAGCCCCGGCTAGCATGGCCTAAGGACCAGGGATGGTGGGATACGTGGTCCAGCAACATCTGTGGACCCACAATTGAAGAAGGCTACTCTGGAGGGCAACAGGTTGCCTGCCCCTGTTCTATAACAGACTCTGAAGGCAGCCCTGTTTAGGGAAGCTTTTAATGATTGACGGGCTACTGTATTTTAATATTTTGTGGGAAGCCACCCAGAGTGGCTGGGGAAACCTAGCTAGATGGGCGGGGTATATATAATGAATTATTATTATTATCATCTGCAGTTGACCCAACAAGGAGAGACTGCACCATTTTTCAGAACTGGGCTGCAGCTCCAGAGCTGAGGTGCAATTAAATGTACAGTCGTACCTTGGAAGCTGAATGGCTTGGGCTCCTGAACAAATTGGCTCCCCAACAATCGAAACCCGGAAGTGAGCATTCCAGTTTTCAAATGATTTTCGGAAGCCGCACTTTGGTTTTTGAATGGTTCCGGGAGTCAAATGGACTCCTGGAACGCATTCTGTATGAAAACCAAGGTACCATTCTAAAAATGTAGGTTGCTGAAGAAAAGTGTTTCTTTAGAAGCAGCAGCAGCTGCAGCCTGGTTCGCAGGCCTCCCATCAGGGAAAGACAAACATACACATGCCCTTGGTCCGCAGGAATTAAGGACCTGCGCTTGACAGTGGAAACTTGGAGTGGGGCCAGATGTCTGGACTCCAGGTCTTCCAGGCTCCAGGAGCCAAGCTAGAAGCTCATGGCATCTTTTAAAGAAACGAAACAAAACACAAAAACAACCCGGAGAGTAAAAACATTTCTGGGGTCGGACAACTCTTGAAACGGCTTCAAAGTAGTTGTGCTCATATAATGAAGGCTGTGCTGTTCGACTGATTAATTGGTTGGCTGAAAAGTCTCTCTAATTAAAAGGGTGCCACAGATGAGCTGGGCAGCAGTTCTTCCCCTCCCACCCACCCCTTCCAGCTGTGTCCAATGCTAGCCCTACTCAGAGTAGACCCACAGAAATCATTGGGTATGACTAATTTAGGTTCATTAATACCAGTGGGTCTACACTCAGTATAACTTAGCTAGGCGCAACTCAAAGGCTTGAAAACGGGATGAACAGATGCTAGGAGCTTTAAAAACGGTCCCCCAAACAGAGACTCCAAACTCCAGTTCTTGTCTTCAGAACCGGGTGTCTCCTACAGCAAAACAATGGAGGAGGGCTCTTAATTATTATTATTTTTAATTGAAGCTACTCATCATCAGTTTGTGTGTGTGTGTGAACCAACTTGCTTGATTGAAAGGTTGCTGCTCCCTTTGGGGGAAGAGCTGGACAATGGCAGAAAACATGCTGTGCATTACGAGTGTCCCAGGCTCAACCCCTGGCTGAAACCCTCAAGAGCAGGGGTTGGCAACCTGTGGCCCATGTGCCAAAAGCGGCCCACCGGGGTCGTTTAAATAGCCCATGAACCACCCCCGAACCAAGCCGCCTGCTCGGTGAATCCCCACATGCTGTGTTAAACCGGCGCAGCGCGGAGCCAGGACTCGCTTCTGTGGTGCCGGAAATTGCGTCTGCGCATGTGCCAATGCCGGAAATCATGTCTGCGCACATGCCGGAAATCCATCCAGCCCACGGAGCAATCTCTGCAGGAGTGAACCGGCCCAGGAAAGGTAAACCTTGCTGACCCCTGCTCAAGAGCCTCTGCAGAGCAGTGTAGGCCAAGGGCAGCCAGTTTGGTGCCATACAACGCACATTATTCTGGGCCACCACTGGCCATGCTGGCTTGGGCTGAAGGGAGCTGGGTGGTTGGAGGGAGCAGCACCATGTTAGCTACTCTTGGTGTAGGCAATACACAGCCAAGGTGTGGCGTGGTGACAAGCCGGCATCGTAAGTTGCTGGAAACCAAGAGATTTTCACAAATGAAGGAAATAATCAATTCACCTCTCACCTTCCCAGTCTTGGCAGTGTCCGCTTCTGTTAATTTCCAGGCACCTTTTTCTTCCGGCGTCTTCTGAAGCTCAGCTGTGCTGTTCTGTTTCAAGGACTTCCCAGTTTCCCCGCTGTGCATGGAAGAGTTACTGAGCTGCCTGTTAGAAAATGCGTGATGGCTTAGAAATCAAGGCATGCCAGTTATTTTTATGCACAAGCTGAAGATGCTGCCCGTGAGCATGAGACCCTTAATCTCAGGGTTGCAGGTTCGAGCCCCACATTGGACAAAATATTCCTGCATTGCACGGGGTTGGACTAGATGACTCTCACAGTCCCTTCCAACTCTACAATTCTATGACTTTTTAAAACAACTACAACCACACCAGTGTTTAAGATTTGGGTGTACTGTGCTGATATATTTCTGGACAATTAACTGTAGTAAACTGATGGTGGTTTCATTCATTTCATTGTATTAAGATGCCTGTTTATGGTCTTGGGGTCCCCTTTGAGGGCTGAAACGTATTATATAAATATTTTTAATAAAATCAACGTCAAGGCTGGGAAAATCCACAGCACTCCCTGCAAAATCTGGGAGTCAAGAATTTGAACTTTTAGAAACAGCTACTTTCACCTCTCCAGTGTCCTGCAAGGAACAAAAGCCTGCTCTGGGTCCGAGTATATTTGAAGCCCTTTCACAAAGTTTCTCCAGAGCTTAACCGAGGTCTTGAAGACCCCGTGTTTCTTCTTAGGCCTAAACTGTGAGTGCGGTTCTAACACACATCACGCATGTCATTTGGAGGCGGGTGAACATCTGGCAATCAGTTTCCCAAATTTAGACCGGAAAGTGAAAACTTACACTGGGAAGACAACTCTACTTTCTCAGGTGTACTTTTTTGTCCAGGCTACGCAAAATGCATGCCGTATTGCTACATAAGCCGGTAAAGAAATAATTCTCCCTGGGGTAGGGAGGAGAAATGGCAGACTTTGCAACAGAAAGTAAGAACAGAGCACCATTCTTCCCCACCTGCCATGCAGAGAAACCTTAGTAGCGTTGCTCAGAGTGGAGGATTACAGAGGGATTAAGGAGAGGGAGAACCTTGACCTGCTAGTTTAGCATTTTCAGTTTTAGACTGGGGGTGTTCAACTGGCCACCCTGGCAATTTCATCTGGCCTTCTGATAACCATACCCCCATTGATTTTAAAACAGTTTGCCCACTATTCCACTAGTAAGGAATAAAACCTCCAAGTTGTTTTCAAGTTATAAGGAATTGCAGTGCCACATGTGAGCCTGAGAGCATGCGCCACACTGACGCAAAGCCACTTTCTGCCAGGCAATGCCAACTTTAGCAAGGAGACTTAAGGGCTCATGAGGTATCAGTCTGCAGAGGCAACACACTTTGGGTACCCCGGTCACTGTCAGAGCAGCTCCCAAGAAGACAGATGTTGGGCCATTCCTGTTTCAGATCAGAAACATTATCAGGGTATATTATTCATTTAAAGCAGTGTTTCCCAGACTTGGGTCTCCAGCTGTTTTTGGACTACAGCTCCCATCACCTCCAGTTAGCAGGACCAGTGGTCAAGGATGATGGGATTTGTCGTCCAAAAAACAGCTGGAGACCCGAGTCTGAGTAACACTGAGCTACGACATTAACCTCTTTGTGCCGTTCTGGAACCCTGAGTGAATGGATGTGTTTTTACTAGCTGACATAACATCAGTACTGTTGGCGCCTGCTAAATATTCAAGTGAGGTGGGTGCAATCACAGAGAAAGCCCATCTTCAAGGTGGTCATGAGATGGATACCTGTAGGTCACATCACAGCCAAGAGGGCTTTTTTTGACTACAGTAGTGGACTGGGAAGGGTCCTTTTTTCAACAGAGGTTTCTTTCCCCACAAAGCCACCAGGAAGACCATGTCAAAGCAACTTCAATGCAGATCCAAGAAGCTTCCATACCTCATGACTTCTTTTCCCGAGGCTTCATTCACAAGAACCCCATTTTCCATGTGCTTCCCTTCCTTTGTGGTTGGGCTGTTTGCATCTGTAGAAGCGAGATGAATAATAGCACGAAAAGGGTGAGAGCAAATTCCTAGTTCCCAGTGCCAGAAGGCTACCCCCAAATTAAACCTGCTGCCCCCAACCAGGATTAGCATCTAAACTAAATACATGCGTTTGGTTTAAGCGTCACACGTAGGTCCATCAACTACCTGCCCCCGATGTGAGATGCATGGAACAGAGAACTTTTGCTCCATAGCCAACCGAAGTCCAGGTTAGATCTCACGGCTAGCATTTTTATACATCAAGAAAATGTCTGTTTTCGCTAGAAGGGAGCGAGGAAATCCACGAGACCACCCAGTCTACCAAGTGTTTTAATTCAACTACAGAAAGCTGACGGAGAGGAATGTCAAATGAAATTGTTTTCTTCTTAAAAGCATGCTGGGCACAGCAGACGCTTTTCAAACATTATTAAAGCCCATTGGGGGGAGGCTTATCCCTTCCTTGAGTGAGCAGAAGTGCTTATTTCTGATCTTAGGCAGTTCGAGAAACAGCCAGCAGCCCACCCCCCTCCATCTCTGACACCTTTAACAACCTCATTTTAAAAACTTGAGGCGGGGGCTGGGAGACGGGGACAGAAGTCCAAGATCTCAGCCCCCAAGGAAGAGGATTATTCCAGTGCTTCTTCAGGCCCTATTGATTTCAGGAGAGGAACGAAAGTATGGGAAAGGGATGTGGAGCAGTTGGGGCTGCACTCTGCAACGTTGCTGCACAGCTCCCAAGCAGAGCCTTCTCCTCTCCTAAGCTCTCCCCAGATTCTTCATATAGCCTTGTCAGGCATGGTGTGTCTCTCTGTGCGTAAATCCTTCTAACGCCAAGTTTGGGATTCGAAGGAATGTTCACGCAGACGAAAGAAAACCTTCGCATGGGAAAGCAGGAGCCTCAGAACCACCGCCTGAGTGGTTAATGGCAAATGTGCATTTTGGTGGCGTGACTCCAGCTTACAACTCACATCTTGGTGTTCTTGCTGAAAAATACTGTTTACGGAGGTGTTTCACGCAACTCATGGAAGTTGGAAGGCACCCCATTGCTTTAACCCCCTGCAATACAGGAATCTCAGCTAAAGTATTCAACACAGATGACCATTGAACCTCTGCTTAAAAACCTCCAAAGAAGGAGAGTCCACAGCCTCCCGAGGGAGTCCATTCCACTGTCAAACAGCTCTTACTGTCAGAAAGCATTTAGTTGGAATCTCCTTTCTTGTAACTTGAATCCACTGTATCAAGTCCTACTCCCCAGAGCAGCAGAAAAAAAGCTTGCTCCATCTTCCATGCAACAACCCTTTAGATATCTGAAGATGGCGCTCATATCTCCTTCCAGTCTCTTCTTCTCCAGGCTAAACATACCCAATGCCCTCAACTGTTCCTCACAAGGCTTGGTTTCTAGACCCTTGATCATTTTGTTTACCCTCCTCTGCATACGTTCCAGCATGTCAACATCCTTCATAAAACTGTGGCGCCCAGACTGGACACAGTGCTCCAGGTGGGGTCTGACCAACGCAGAATAGAACAGTACTATGACTTCCCTTGATCTGGACGCTGGACTTCTGTTGATGCAGCCCAGAATCGAACCACTATTTTTTGCTGCTGCATCACACAGGTGATTTGTGTTGACCTTGTGGTCCTTTAAGATCCCTAGAACCTTTACATACGTACAAATAACTGTGCTGTAGAGTCCATGAAGGTATAAATGGTGGTATCATGCCCCAACCCAGCAGACACTTGTGCAACAACCTCTACACATATAAATGCCTGTTATTTAAGACTGCACCTGCAGAAGATAATGGCTATCCTCCAGGCACTCCCATCTTACCTGGCCATTATTTGCCACACTGTATGGGGCTGATGGGAGTTTGAGCCCAAACAACATTTGAAGGGCCACGGGTTCCCCAAAATAGATGCCAATCTCAGCCTAATCAATGAACACCCATTTAGACTTCTGTACAGCTGAGTACCATCCCTGCGAAGGAATGCAAGTGACAGAATCTGGGGTAGTTTTCTCAACAAGCAAACAAACACAAAAAGTAGGGGTTCTGCTTAGGAATTCCTAACAACCATTTCCCCCACCTCTATAAAAACTCGGATCCTACAAAACAGACACTGGTTTCATCTCAAACTCCAGGTCTCTCTAACGCCAAGATGGCAATGGAGGTAGTGGAAAAATTAAACAGAGAATTTCAGGAAAGGAGGATGAACGTTGCCTAAGTCAGATCCAGTCGCACTGCAAACAAGAGCCTTCCAGAGTTGAACGTGAAGGAAGTACGTCTTAAAAAGCAAGCCTCTATAAATATTCTATAAAACTTAAACTTGTCAACTGACTACATTTCATCTGAGTGGTTAGACACTGACTCACAAGACGAAGCCTCTAACTGTTCCATGAATGTGAGATCTAAAACTGAACCATTCGTGATTAAGACAAGAGTCTGAGGTCTAATTACAGAGCCCACTTAAGTCAGATTTGAACCATTCACACTGCCAGGAATCTCCCATGTGGGATTTTTTTTTTGGGGGGGGGGGGACGGAGGTTCAGAGTGCAGAGATTTCTCTCTTATAAACTTCACCAACACAGTCCCAAACCCTGTGGGGATAGGAAACAGCTTAAAACTGCTGAGGTCATCCTGTCACTTTTCATGCATCTTTTTGCCAATTTTTTTTTAAATAAAAAAATTAGCTTCACAAACGGCCAGTTCAGTAGATGTCAGACCAGCAAGAAGCAAACTCACGGCCTACTTCTACTAAGCAAGCAAGCAAGCAGGGGAGCCATTCTTCCAAGCGGGCAAGGTTTCTGTTAATAGCATCCGAGTCCCTTGCAGAATTCACAGCTGAGAGAAAATGGCTGGGATCCAAAGGAGCACACAGCGTTGCTCCATGTTCCCAAGGAGACTTGGGATTGAGTTTCTCAAACAGCAACATCCCCATGTTTCCAAAAGCAAACTGTGATATGACCTGGGAGTGCCGATCTCCAAACGCAAAGAAGTCAGAAGTCTCAGAGGGCGCGCCCAAATTCTTAAGTGACCCTAAGTGGTTGAAACTTGACAACAACAACAACAATACAGAATTAGGTAATAGGAGTTGGCAAAGGAAGAATAGCCAGTTCCAAAAAAGAACCACTTCATCATTCATACATATTGGATTTGCCAAACCATGCTTGCTTTCATCTCAGACGAAGCGGGGTTTTTTAGAACTACAGCTTCTAACAACATGCACAGAAACCTTTCCGGTACCACAAACCTTCGTCCTCATCTGACCTGGTACCTGCAGATTCATGTCAGAAGGAGAAATTAGCAAAAAGAAAAACGAACGCAAAGTGAATTCAAGAGAAAACTGTTCTGTTATGGTAAAGAGAGACAAACCTTCTCCTCTCCCTGAGGCTGTGTGGTTTTGCAACAGTGAGCAGAAAGAAGAAAGAGAGAGAGAGAGATTGGGAAAGCAAATTATAGATTTTGGATGGCAAGTACTTCTTGTGGAAGTGTACCAAGGCATCAGGGAGCTCTGCTGCAGAAGCACCGCTGAAATGAACGAGGGCTAAGCTTTGCTGTTCAAAAGAATACCGCACCAAAATCACTGCAGAAACACGGCGCAGCACCCCGAGCCAGGCTACTGGTCCACCCACCTAGCTCAGCGGTGGGGAACCATTTTCTGCCTGAGGGCCACATCAACCACTGGGCAATCATCCGAGGACCACATGCCAGCGGAGGGCTGGGCCAGGGGCAATAGGGGGCAGAGCAATTCATGCAGATTTTGCAGTTGTAAACTAGCTTCTTTATATATATAATTTTTATTAATTTCAACATACCAATTATTATGCATTCCACAGAACTTCACATCTTATACATTCTTTTTGGGCTTCCATCAGCACCTCTGATGATCCACCATTTTTATCATTTCTTCTGCATTTCTTAAATTCCTATTGTCTTTAATTATCTTAACTCACAATCCACCTCTTTAACCATTTTTGCAATAATTCAAATAATTTACCTCACAAAACGTCTTGCAAACCTACAAACGTAATCTGGTCATCAAGTTGTAAACTAGCTTCTACATATGCTCCCACACATAGACCTCTCTTCTCCATCTGGAGAAGGAAGAGGCATTGCTACAGCTCAAGGACACATTCCAGCTGGGCAAAGACATTTGGTATGGAGCCGTGCCAGGAAGAGGTGTGACCTGAGGAGAGTTTTGAGGGCCGGACAGAGAAGCCTGGAGGCTGCATTCAGTCCCCAGATTTGAGGTTCCCCACCCTTGATCTAGATTCGCATTTCCAACACTGAGCGGTAGTGGCTCTCCAGGATTTCAGATAGAGATCTCTCTCTCTCTCTCTCTCTCTCTCTCTGCCCAACCTGGGGTTGCTGGGATTGAACCTGGAACCTTCTACATCAGTGTTTCTCAACATTGGGTTGTTGGACCGCAACTCCCATCATCCCTAGCTAGCAGGGCCAGTGGTCAGGGATGATGGGAGTTGTAGTCCCAACGACAGCTGGGGACCCAACGTTGAGAGAAGCTGCACATGCAAAGCAGATGCTCTTCCACTGAGCTATGCCCCCTCCCCAAATGGAAGAAAAAAGCGAATCCTGGTTGTTTTATTAAGAAACAGCTGAAGGCCTGGAGATAGCAATGGGTTCTAAACTTATCTAGAACGTTACGAGGTTTACCCTGTGACCCAAAACCATCCCACAGAGCTTAACGCTCAGAAGGACGGCCACGACAAACCCTATTTCGGGCAAAGCTGAGGCAGAAACAAAGCTGCGCTACACAGGAGTTGGGTGCCGATTACACGGGAGGAAGTTATGAAACTGAACAAGTCCTCTTCCCAACCAGGGCAAATTACTCCAGGCAGTCACGTCAGTCTGAAAGTTAATCTGCTCCAAGATTAACGTTTTCACCAACCTATGAGCAGATTTGCCATTGAGCCTTTAAATGTGTTTTACCTTAGGGTAGCAAGCAAGTAACAAGTCAACAACAACAACAACAACAACAGACTCCTCGTCTTCTGGGGATGGAAGAGGTTAACCTTGTTGCTGTTTTTCGTATCATCATTCCCATTATGCATCGCAAGCCCCCAGGGCCACTCCCAACCCTACAGTTCTACCATTCAGCATCATCTAGGGAGCAAGGCATGCTGGGTAAGTTCCCATGGTCTCCCCATGCAGCCCATTTAGCTTTAAGCAGACATACGGAGAGAGAGACCCTTACCTTCCTTGTCCACATTCTGTTCCGCACTGGCGTACGTGCGCAGGAACTCTGCAAAGGCCCTGTCTTGCTTTAGCAGCTCTTGGTAGGATCCCATCTCGGAGATTTTTCCTTCCGTCATTACTACGATTGTATCCATAAAGGGCAGATAACCAACGCCATGGGTTACCAACACTCGAGTCTAGGTGCCCAAAGAAAAGGAAAAGCAGTTAAGAGAGCCAGGGTGGGGACCTGGAAACTTGCACATTTGTTGAACATGCTACACTCTGGCAGTTCTTCCGTTTATGGCTTAGATTGTCTAATTCAAGGTTTCCCAAACTTGTGTCTCCAGCTCTTGTTGGACTACAACTCCCATCATCCCTAGCTAGAAGAACCAGTGGACAGGGATGGTGGGAATTGTAGTCCAAAAACAGCTTGGGAAAGCCTGGTCTAATTATATGTTCAGAGAGGCTCAGTCAGTAGAGAGCATGAGACACTTAATCTCAGGGCTGTGGGTTTGAGCCCCAAGTTGGGCAGAAGATTCCTTCATTGCAGGAGGTTGGACTAGAAGATCCTTGAGGTCCCTTCCAACTCTACAATTCTATGACTGGCATGGAAACATTTCCAAACAGCTTGCCTGAACTTTGCAAAGCATCTCCCCCCCCCCCCGAACAGAACGAAGCTACCTGCATTCCAAGCATACTTTGTTTTTGAGGATTCCCTTTGGTCCAATGACTTTCTCAAAGATGTGCTTCCCAACATGAGCATCAACAGCTGACAAGGGGTCGTCCAGCAAGTAGACATCAGCGTTACAGTAGACGGCTCGGGCCAGGCTGACCCTTTGCTTCTGGCCACCAGACAGGTTTACACCCTGAGGAAGAGAAGAGGGGTTGAAAATGAGAGCCTGCAACTGTCTACCGGAAATGACTTCTGCTTTGTGAAAGGCCTGATTTCCATTTCCACAAGGAAAGAAATGGAATAAAGATGCACGTGAACACACAAGTCTCAGTTCATGCAGCACTCACCTAAGAGGCAGGCACAAAGATCCATCTTTGCTTGAGCAGAAAACGGGACAGGTGAGCTCTGGGAGTTATACTTGAGGTGCTACACATATTCAGGATCTGTTCTCACACCCCAGGAGCAAATGTGAGAAAACAAATTTTGGAGCCTGTGACCACTATAACACGTTAAATACCTTTTCTCCAATTTCGGTCTGGTCTCCTGATGGGAAAATCTCCAGATCCGGCAAAAGGGCACATGCCTCAATCACACGCTTGTAGTAGTTCTCCTTCACTTCTCTTCCAAATATAATGTTTTCCTTCAGAGTTGCGTTTTGGATCCAAGCTTGCTGAGGGACGTAGGCGATGGAGCCCTGTAGAGAAGAGAGGTTGAGTGGTGCAAGATTCTGGTCCATGTTGAGAGGTGTTAAAAAACAACAACCCTGTAGGATGCATCAATCCCTAGAACTGTCTTTCCATGATGTTCTCTGTTCCCCATCACTCTCCCAAGTCAATTCTGACATCTCACAATGCTAGCTCATTCGGTTAGATGGCCGGCTCATCCCAAACTACCCTAATCTTCTTTGGGACAACACAACATTCACCTGACACATTAAGCCCCTAACAGACAACCCCATGCAGAAAGGAGCGGACAGGAGCCAGTAAGGTGTCCCACCCTGGATGCAGTGATACTGTGTACAGAACAGATTAGTATAACCATCCAGAGAGCTCAGGCAGTATCACATGCTCACAGGGGAAGCAGGAAACCTGTGGGGTCACTAGTCAACCAAGAGAAAATTCCTTCCTAATTCCAGCCAGGGTGACCCCTGAGCAAGCAGCAGTACTCAGCCGCCAGCTGTCTCAAAGATATGTGCTGCTGAACTTTAAAAAAAGAGAGTCTATTTCTTGGCCGTACCACCAAACAGCCTGCACATGTCCTTTACGTATTTCATTGAGGGCCGGCATATTCTCTTCTTATAATTTTACATCTCGTATGTTTTGCAGGGGAGCTGTTGTACCTTGAGAGAGACGAGCCCTTCTCTCTTTTCCATTTCCCCCAGCAGAGCAGACAACAGCGAGGATTTGCCGCAACCGACCTGACCGACGACGGCGACCAAGCGGTGTTCTGGGATCGCAAGACTGATGCTGGAACGAGGGGCAGGGGATGGTGGGAAGAGAACACAACTTCAGCTTTGCTGGACTGAGATGCAACACGGAGAGGCAGTGATAGAGAATAAATTTGGATAGAGCAAAGGGCATTGGAAATGCAATTGAAAGGGAAGACACTCCCTGAAAAAAGTCTGTATCTGGGAGCGGCCAATGGGAGGGTGCCACTGCAGACCTGTCATCCCATCAGCCCTAGTCAGCACGCACAGTGGCCAGGAAATGATGGGAGTTGTAGTCCAACGGAAGCTGGAGAGTCCCTGTCCTGGCATTAGTGCGATTAAAACTATTTCATGGGAGAGGAGAAGGAAGAAAGCCGCAACTCTTACTTGTTCAAAGATGGAGGATCACTTCTTGACCAGCTGAAGGTGGCACTCTTCACAATAATGCTGTTTCCATCAGCTAGCAAATAATGAAAGAGGATGTTTTCATGCAGGTCAAAACACCAACACAACCGAAAATAGGTTACATGCATACAAAAACAACTGAGGGAGATTTAATCCCTGGAATCTCCATGGAGGGCTTGGAGAGACTCCTGCCTGAAGCTCCAGAGAGCTCCAACCTGTCAGGTGGACAATACTGAGTCTGACTCCATGTAAGGCAGGTTCCTGTGTTCCTAGGAGTCTTCCAGTGAGCTTCTTGGCTGTGTTGGGGAATATGCACCTTCACCTCCCAGGTCCAAGGCTTATAAGTACTACTCTGCATAGGGCAGGGAAAGGAAGACTTGGAGAACTTTGTGGTCCATCTGTACCTGGATGCAAACTAGACATTGCCACAAGCTCCATTCAGCATCAGAGAGCTGAGCCGGGCAAGAGAGGCTAAACACTATTCTTCTTAAATGGGGCTCAACAACTTTGACCTGAAAAACGGGGGTAGATCACTGCCGGTTTTTGTTTTTAACTCTGTGAGTAGACCGCAGTCTCTTGGGAGTTGGCCACCCCTGCCTTAGAAGAAGCCATCTTGAAGCCTGAGCAATGCTGACTGGATAATCTGGTGGTGGGAAGTGGCAGAGGCAAATGAACTGGGAAACTCCACCCCATCCACCTAATAAACCTTGAACTTACAGTCTTTGATGGAACCTCTGACGATGCTGTCTGGATCCAACTCCTCATGAGACAGGAAGACTCGGAGACGCTTCAGAGACACACTGGCCTAGGCAACAAAGCCGAGAGGTTGCTCAAATGAAGCATACCTCTTGCATTTCATTTTCGGGCGTCCGCCAATTTTGCTTTCACAAAATTTTGGCCAGAAGATGCAAAACAAACACATGGAATCTGATGGCACAGGATGTCCTTGCTGCCACTAGTTTAGGTGGCTTTAAGAAGCGGATTAGGTGTATTCCGTAGGAATTCCCCCCTCCTTTTGTGGAACTGCTCTTCCCACAAGGACCCACATGGCCACATTCTTATTCGTCATTTCGGCATGAGGCAATGAGATTATTAAGTTTCTCATTTGCACTTACGTGATGCCTTATAAAATAAATTCTCCAGGCATTGTACAACCCCCGTCTCTCAATACATTAATGCTAAAGCAATAGTACAATACACTAGGCACCAGGTCCACCAAAGCAAACAGGACATGAAGGCTGGCAACATCAACCCTGCCCTGTGGGGAATCCCTTGCAGATGACTGCAGCGCTTGGGACAGAGAGGTCGTGCATCCACAGCAGCAACCAGAGGAGGAATGACCGCTGGGCAGAGCACAGAGAGAAGAAACGCCATGGTGCATCTGCAGCAGCGCAAGCACCAGACGCCTTCATGTGCCCCAGCTGCAACAAAATATAGCCCTCCTGCATCAGTCTCTACAGCCACAGCAGGCGCTGCGACTCTCCAACAGTTTGACTTCACCCCCAAAGGTGCACTCCTCCATTGTCTCCTGAGACAGACAGATGCCAAGCAGTACAATTCAAATCTATGGTGTGATCTATCAAACACCAATAACTGTGATAACCAAGTGCAACCTCCAGGAAGGAGGCCACCAAATCCCAGCTGCTCTGGGTCAACCATGGGAGGGAGCTGTTGCCTTCGTGCCCCAATTAAGGGCTGCCCAGAAGCAACACGGGGGGCCCCTCAGCCTCCTTATTTGGCCTTTAGAAATCCCCGCAAGGCTACAACACTCGCTGGCTTGTTCTGCACCCTGAGTGCTTTCGCTTGTTTCCCAGCCCAGGAGTTGTGTTTCCTTGTGGCCAGTCTACCCGGGGCCACATTCCAGTAGTGAGCAAGGACAGGAGCAAAAGAATATGCATGGGACTCTTAACTGTGTACAGCTGGGTGCAGTCCCCTGCCTCCCGACCGCCCCCGGCCAAAGGCAACTGCTTGCAAAGAAACCCTTACTTGCACGATGCTGCTGATGACCATCGGAAGGATGTTCAGGGGGAACCGGAGGATGTTAAACAACGCCAGCGACACAAAGGCCTTCTGAGCATCCAGGACATTCTGGTCGGCAGTTTTCACAAAAACAGCAAATGTTGACAGAGCAACCTGGAAAAATAGAAATCAATGATGTGTTGTGCCTGGACTTTGCCTGTTTATTTCAGCCTTTGTCCAACTTGATATCCTCTATGTTTCGGACTACAACTCCCATCAGACCCGTGGCTTATGGGAGTTGTAGTCCAAAGCATCTTGGAGGGTGCCATGTTTGGGAAGGCTATATTTTTTCAGTAAAAAGAAATGTGTGGGGTTTTTGGGGGGTGGAGAGAGCCAGTGTCTTTAGAAAAATGTTGAGCCCAGGGAAGAGACTATCCATGAGACATGTTTCTTCTGCCATATCTCCATGAGGCCAGACCCCTTGCATAGGCAAGAGAAAGTGTGGGTAAGCCCTCAATTGGGGCATGACAGCCCCATGGCGTAGACAATGCAGATGGATAAGCAGGTATAAATATTTGGAATAAAGTCTTTCGAAAAGCTATAGGATGGAGACACTTGCAATGGGCTCTTTGGTGCTCTCAAGAAGGTGCTTTGGGCCTACATCTTAGGAGGACCTTTCAGCAACAAAGCACTTAAATCAAAGAGTTCCTTTTCAAAACAGCTCTTGATTATTTTGCTGTTCTTAAGAACACCCGTGGTGGACTTAACAGGCTTCCTGTACATGGCCGTGGCTGGGTCACTCATTGTCCTCAGGACTGTGCAAATATTAGTGTTGTGTAGAGAACGTGCAGAAAGGCGTTTCAAATTGCAAACAGTGAACCATGACTGGGGTCCACACTCCAGGCCAGGCAAGTGGCGCCCTTTGTTTGAGCCCAGCACAGCAAACCATCTTCATGCAATCAGAACCCAATCCAGCTGGTGAAAAATAAGCATTACAGAACATGGCTTTATATAGGAGGTTCCTGTGATGCCCTGACTAGTTGGAAAGATAGTAAAGGTAAAGGGACCCCTGACCATTAGGTCCAGTCGTGACCGACTCTGGGGTTGCAGCGCTCATCTCGCTTTACTGGCCGAGGGAGCCAGCATACAGCTTCCGGGTCATGTGGCCAGCATGACTAAGCCACTTCTGGCGAACCAGAGCAGCACATGGAAACACCGTTTATCTTCCCGCCAGAGCGGTACCTATTTATCTACTTGCACTTTGATGTGCTTTTGAACTGCTAGGTTGGCAGGAGCAGGGACCAAGCAACGGGAGCTCACCCCATCGCGGGGATTCAAACTGCCGACCTTCTGATCGGCAAGCCCTAGGTTCTGTGGTTTAACCCACAGCGCCACCCAGACTCAAATCGGCTCTAAGCAACAGATTAAGGCTGGAAAAGACCATAAAGTGTTTTTTGCCAACACCCTGCCCCAAGGACGGATGCTGTCAAGAAGTTAGGTGGGTGATGACCAGGGAGGGGGATTTTTTTCTTGGTGGTGGCACATGGAATGTCCTCCCCAGGGAGGCTTGCCTGGCACTAAACCTAAAACACTTCCTTTTCAATGCAAGACCTTCTGAAACTGCCCAAGCCTTTCAGACAAGAGCAGCTTTATTAAATTCTGTTGGTTTTATTGCTCCAACTGTGTTTTGTTTTTGTTTTTCGCTGCTCCAGCAGCATTAATGCTTTCTTCTTCTTCTTGATATTGGGTTATTTTACATTCTTTCTTTCTTTTTTGGTAGCAGTTGCTCTAGGATTTGTTTAAGCTGAAGGACGGCATAAAAATGTACTATGGCTGCAATCCTAAGACTGGTGGTGGCAGGGCTGGGAAAGCTGGTGTTCTGTTCTGAACACCCATCCAACGCCCTTGCTGGGCCCTTATTTATTTCACAAGACTTATATACCGCTTGGTTGTAATAAAACCTCAAAGCAGTTTACAAAAAGAAGGGACCAGGGAGGAAGTAAGGTCAGAGGGCAGCACTTGTGCTCCTTGTATGCTCTGCTTTCCCCTTTTCTTTTCTTTTTTGACAGCAGGAAAAGGGGAAGGGAAATCCCGGGGAAAGATTTGGGCCAGCTTCTAAGCTGGTCTAAATCTCTCTCTCTCTGGTTTGGTGATGTTCCGGGGGACCAAGAGAACTTTGGATCTTTTGGACCCAAACCATGTCCCAGCCCTCTCCCCCAGCATGCAACCTTTCTTGTTCCTACTGACATCAATTGGGCAAAGGTGTCTGAAGTTTCCTACAGCGGGCAGGGATTCCCCAGGCCACAGGACTGCATGCTGCATAAAATGAAATAAACACTGGGCAAGAAGAATCTCCTAGCTTGAATGACGACAGCATGACAAAAATACAATGTATGTTAATATTCTTGTAGCATTCCCTCTTTGAATGAGCGCCGAGATGTGTGGCAAGTGACAAGCAGAGTTCTATGCACAGAAAACAGCAGTCTGTAAGAATGCCATCTACCAGCAGCTTTTTGAAAGCACTACTTTACTCACCAGGAACGGGGCACACACCCACGTGAACGTCCCCACTGCAGAGAGGTAAGCGGACTTTTTGAGCACCTTCAGCTCTTCCTGTCTGATCCCCAGGACTTTCTCTTTGAAGGCTAATTCCCAGGCATAAAGTTTTAGCACTTTGATCCCATTGAGAATTTCATTCATCAGCTTAATCCGGTTGTCCTTGCAATTCATGTGAGCAACCTGAAACGAACCCAATCAAAACAAAAGCAATTTGAGGCAGCTCTCTCTCTCTCCCAAGTCGGCCTGTGATAAAACTTTTGAACAGTAGCCGTCATTTTAAAATGTTGTTGTTGGGTTTCTTTGTAGCTCTGAGCTATAAAATGAGGCGGCTTTAAGAAATGGAAACTGTGTTTTGTAAAACTTACAACTGACACGTGCTGGCAAGCCATCAACAGGAAAGGAACAAAGAGATGGTTGCAGGTGAAAGCATTAGACTGGCTTGAGTAGCTCCTTCACAAGACAGGAAGGCTGAAAACACCACCGATAGATGTAGATGTTTTAGCAACATCTTAGTTTTGTAGCAGCATCTTAGTTAATGATGTGATTTGCCTAACCTTGCAAAACAAGTCCAGAGGAGTCATTAGCCCTTGAGTACACTAAACATACGTGTTTAGTTATCTGGGGTCTAAGCAGAAAGAACCATCTTTTGCAAGATCACTTAGAGAAGGTTCTTTCCCACCAGAGGTGCATAGTGATTTACAAGCAGGGTTGACCGTCACATCAGACCACAAGATACTGATCTTGCTATTACTGGCTGGTATGGTAATTTGCAACATTCTTCCGTGAGGCACAATAGACAGGAAGTCTCAACATGTGCCTTAAGAGATGGACTCAATTGTTCTTGTGCAGAAAGGAAGTCTCTTACCTGGTAGGTCTTTGTTTTCATTGCTATCACAGCATTGACTGGAACCAGGAGCAACATGACAGCCACACCGGCCAACACCGAGGCACCTAAATTCTAAAGAGAGCATGTTTAGAATGCAGCATAACGGAAGCACAAAAAACCCGCGGTCCAAATAGTAACCTAGGTGGTGAACCGTTGCAGGAATGAGCAGGTACTTTCCTGCCTTTTAGCCAGAGGAAACTGGGGAAGAGTGCTGAGTGGGAGAGCACCTGCCTTGAAGGCAGAGTCCCCGATTCAACCCCTGCCATTTCTAGTTAAGAGGTTCAAGTAACAGAGTGTGGGAGAAACTGACGAGCCACTGCCAGTCAGAGGAGACAGGAGTCTGATTCGCAGCTTTGCATATTCAGATTCCAGTCATTAGTTGAAGGTTACAGCATGAGAATGTCAAAGAGCGAGCTGGCAGTAAATCACACCATTCAAAGTTGGAGCTAGCTCTTTATTAACGGTTGATTGTCAGGCCTAATGAGCACAGCAGCTCATCCTCAGCAGGTCTGACCCCATGAATCAGTTGTGAAGTCTGAAAGTCCCTGCCTCCCCAGGGCTTTCCCCAAACAATTAGAGACTGTGCCTGCGTGCAGCCCGCCGCTGCTCTGCCCATTTCATCTCTCTTCTGGTTCTGGGAGACCAGCGGGGAGGGGAGCTTAACACAGGAGGAGGGGAGACATCCATTTCTCTGCATCAAGCCTGACTCATCTCTGCTTCTTGGCCTCCCTCCTCTCCTGCTTCAGTTTCTGCCTCTGATTCTGGACTTCTCTCTGCCACAGATTCTTCCTGCTCACTAAACCCTTCGGCTTCTGACGTCTCCTCCCCGCAGTCTTCTCCCTGTGACCACTCATCATTGTCCCACCGCCACTCCCTGGGCTCTGAGCCTTCTTCCCTTGATGGTTCCCCAGCTGGTTCCATCCACCATTCCTCTGCATCTTACCAGTCCAAGACAGAGAGCTGTCTGCACTTCTTTCCCTTCCCTGTTATCCCATCCTGGATTCTGAAGCCCTAATCCTTTGATGACAGGATTCTGGCTTTCCCTTGAGTAAAATAAGCACCATTGTTTAGCTGCAGTAAAGGAAACAATGGACGCACAGTACTTTTACCTGCCACAGCAAACAGAGAGCCAGTATGACTTGCAAAGGTGCAGACCAGACCATGTTGATGTAGGTAGCCAAGTCCATGAACCTCTGGGCATCCACCGACATCAGGTTGACAATTTCTCCAACTGTGGATGTCTTCCTTGCTGAATTTGTGATGACCAAGGCCTTGGCAGGGTAGAGGAGAGGAAGACAAAATGAAAAGTCCAGAGGCTGGAAGGTTTGCTGGGGCATAAAGAACTTTGATTGGCAAAATCCTACTTCCTTAGATGCAGGAGTTTGGCAGCGAAGATGCTGGATAAACATACACACATATATATAAACACATGAACTAAAGGGAAGCCAAGCATGGGCTTAAAGTTTGGGACAGAATGCTCTCAAATGGAAAAACTGTCATGCCTAGAGCTTTAGAAATCAAAAGAATTCTCCTTTCTCTCTTAAAAAAATAACCTCCAAAGGTTTTCGATAGGTCATACCTATAAGCCAGAAACATCAATTAAATAGTGAGAGGTTAACTGAATAAGCATATATCATCAAACAAGTTGAGTTTATGAACTTGCTAGATGGTGTGCAGATGGTGTTTGGTGGTAGAGCACATTCTTTTGAAAGGAGGAGCTCCCACTACCAACCTCTGGCATCTTCGACTAATCAGGGAACAGGCGAATGGAAAGATCTCTTTTAGCCATGGACCCTGAGGAGCTACTACTAATCAGGACAGGCAATACTGGGTCAGATGAACAGTTGGTGTGAACTGGTGTAACACTGTCCTCTCATCGTTTCTGATAGAAGCAGGCAGTGTCTCTAAGGTGAATTTGGATCCCATTCAAAACAAACATCACCAAGGAGAAATGAATCAAAATGTCACTGGGAGCATAGGAAGCTGGCTTAATATGCAGCCAGACTATCTACCCATTGAGCTCAGTATTGTCCACACTAATGACTGGCAGCTGCTCTCCAGGGATTCAGACAGGGAACGTTCTCAGCCCTAACTGGTCAGGACCTTCACGCAAAGAAGCCACAGCCCTTCTTCCAGTTGAGTAATTAGAGCACATCGGCTGCATTTGCCATCTGGAGCAAGCCATTCCCCAAAGGATAAGGGGCAGCGTTGCTAAGCTACGCTTCTAGGCTGGAAGTCATTTGTAAGCAGCTGCAGCCAGGGCAGCGTCTCGAGATGTGGGCGAGGACCGTCGCAGCTCCCTATGCAGCTGGGGACAAATGCAGCAATGCTACCCCAGCCTAAAGTTAAAGCCAACCGTGGGGGTTTAGGATGAAAGCTTACTGAGCGAGACATTTAGTCTAGTTCACTGCGGGCGCCAATCCCTGTGGATAAAGTGATGTCAGGTGGGGTTAGGGTATACATCTGCAGGTCTCTACCTTCCGATAGACTGCACCGATCACAGCTGTTTTAAGCCTCATCCCCGTCACGAAGCAGATGTGGAAGTACTGGTGGAGGACCAGAGTCTGCAGGCCGGTGGAGACAAAGAGGAGCGCCGTGTACAGGTAGCCTTGCCAATTGGGGGCGTTCTCGTCATTCACAAAGTTGATGAGCAACCTGCAAACGAAGCAGCCCGGGGGACATTTGAAAGGAAGCCAGTGAAAAGCCCTGGTTAGCCAGTGAGCGAGGGAAGTTCACCATCTCCAGTTCCCTACAGGTCCAAAGATGGCGGTGTGGGCCTGCAGGGAAACGAGACTGAAAACACTCTGGCCGTGAAATAGGTCAATTAAAGAGAGTGGGGGTGGAATTCCAACCAGCTCTTAAATGCAAACATTCTTGAAGTGGCTAACGAAAGAAACAGATGACAATACAATCTTGCAGCTGTAAGGTCTCCTAAAATCCAATTAAATAGCTGCTAAAAAATATACTTGAACGCATGGGCAAATTAAAAGTTTTGGTTTTTTTTAAAAAAAAATATCCTTGCCTGACACTTAATGGTATGGACCAGGCAAGCAGCCTGGGGAAAGCATTCTGCAGAGCCACCACTAAAAAGGCCATTGGCGACGCTTGATTATTTCAGAGTGCTGCCTTTGCTGTGCAATAACCCAGCCAGGTAGATTTAAAGTGGGGAAAATACATAACTTAGGAGACCGGACAGACTTCCAAGCATGTCATGCATAAGGGAGGTTTTTGTGGGTTTGTTTATTTGGCTTTCTTACCCCTCCCTCCACCACCGTAAGATTCCAGGGGTTACAACTATATAAAAATTAGAATCGGTTCAAACAATGTGCGTTCCAAAGTAAGTACGGTGTGGGCTTGCCACTGAGATTTCAGCACCTCCTTCCCAAATATTTCCTTAAAAATCACATTGCCCGTGTTCTCTATCTAAAACTCCAGGGTGCAATGTTAAGAGAGAAGCACCGGAGTTTGATGGAAGAGCAAAATTTTTGCATTTATAAGGGTCAATCCCAGACAGCTCTGGCTAAAAGCAGAAGGCGGAAGGCAATGCAAAAGGCATCTCTCTGCTGAAGATCCTAGAGTGCTATTATGCACCAGAGAAGTTCATTTTGAACAAGATGAACAACTCGCTTGACTTTCATATGAGGCACAGCCCATTCACATGGATTGCTGAGCAAACTTACTAGAGTTCAATCGCCGTTTTATGTGAACAAAGTGTTCCTGCTCAAACACAGCCACATTGCCCTGCAGTGAAGGGGAAGGTCAGGAGAGGGTTAGCATGCCATCTTCAGGGAAGATGTTCTGTGCCTTCTCACCAAGGAATGTTTGAAAATCTTCCAAGGGGATTGCCAAGAGTGTCTCCAAATGCTGTGAAAACCGCTGTCGTAAGTGGAGGAACAGAAACACCATGTAAACTCCTAGACAGCAGTTTTCCTAAGTGTGCCAGACTGTATGAAATCTGGGGACATCTACTTCTCGTTCTGATGAGTGGGAAAGTGGGAAATGGCTAGCTCAGGCATCCCCAAACTCGGCTCTCCAGATGTTTTGGGACTACAACTCCCATCATCCCTGACCACTGGCCCTGTTAGCTAGGGATGATGGGAGTTGTAGTCCCAAAACATCTGGAGGGCCGGGTTTGGAGGTGCCTGGGCTGGGAGACCCAAGTAAACCAACTCTCTGCTTTATAAAGGGAAGAGGAGCATCAAAAGCAATCAACAACCACCCATGGAAAAGTTTGATACCAGCAGCAACTATCCATGCACTCTACAGTGATGGGAGCAAGACAGCTCTCTGCTTACCTTAAGAGTTCAGGTCCTGTAAACATCATAAGGTCATGGAAGGCCTTGAAGAGGAAGCTCATGAGGAAGTATGGCCCAAACGACTTGTATAAGACCTTAGCAAGAGACGGCTCCTTGTCCCTTTGAGAAGGTTTGATGATCAGAGCTTCAGCTTCTTCCGTCACATCCCCGTTCGAGCCACTGGATTTTGTAGGTTTCTTGGGCGAGTACAGCATTGGTGTCGAGAGCCTATCGAAACAGAAGCATCCAGAGATTCTGTATTCACTGGCATACTTCATCTGCACACAACGTGTATTTATGGTATTTTCATATTTCTTTATTACAACCAGTGGCGTAGCGTGGGGGGTGCATGGGGGGCCGGCCGCACCGGGCGCAACATCTGGGGGTTAGGGGGCGCAAATCCACGGGTTAGGGGGCGCAAATTACTTGCCTTGCCCCGGGTGCTGACAACCCACGCTACGCCACTGATTACAACTGTGAAATAAAATGGTGTAGAACTCATCACCGCCACTACCCACACCAGATATTGCCAGACTACAGCTCCTAACATTCCTTGAACGCTGGCCAGGAATTGGCAAGCCAACATCACCTGGTGAGCAAGTTTCTAATCCCAGGTGCAGGTGGCAGGTCAGGTGCAGTTCTCCTCCTGGCCATTAGCTGCTGCTTTTTGTGAGGGGCGGAGGGAGAGACGAGGGCGGGGGCCACATGCAAAAGGAGCCAAGTTGCCTGCATGCTTAGTAGCCATATAGAAGAGAGAATTGCAGCAGCTTTACCTTGCGCGACAGGCTAGGCTCGCTGAAATACTCTCTGAGACGCCCCAGGTATAGGGCGGTATATAAATTCAATTAATAATAATAATAATAATAATCTGTTAAAGGTGCACACACCCTGGCTTCTTTTGCATCTGGCTGCTTTAAATGAGAGGCAAATGGGTTTTGAAGTTATGCAAAGTCTTGCATCTGCAAGAAGGTCAAAGAAGAGGCGGGAAATGCCCCAGCAGAGAAGCAGGCCTGCATTCCTTGCAAATATGCTGTAAATCAGGGATTTGCAACCTAAGGCCGGGGGTCGTTTAACTGGCCCATGGACCCCTGCTGCCTGCTCAGGGACCCCTGCTGCCCACTCAGTCGGCTCCCATGCACGACACTAAATCGGTGCAGAGCAGAGCGGGGACCGCCTTCCGCGACACTGGCCGGCTTTCCCATTGGCTGCAGGAAGCTCCGGCCCACTGCAGTGTCTGCGGGACCATGAACAGGCCCAAGCCACAAAAACTCTTCCGACCCCTGCTGTAAATCATCCGTCAATTTTGGAACTGCCTGCGTGCAACTGCGTTTCGGAGTCTGAGGCTCTGAATAGCTGCAAGGCAGGGCTTGCAATTCAGCTACTCGTTGATTTTTTTGCCTTCTCCCCTCTCCTGGGCTCACCAAGCATTTCTCGCCTTTTGCAGAGCCAGGACAGAAACAGTTGAGGAGCTCCCCCCCCCTTCATTCTTTCTGTTTTAGAGACTTTGTTGTAGAAAGGAAGTTTATGGAGAAAACGAAAGGTGAAACCTCAGTGGAGTTATACAGTGGTGCCCCGCAAGACGAATGCCTCGCAAGACAGAAAACCCGCTAGACGAAAGGGTTTTCCGTTTTGGAGGTGCTTCGCAAAACGAATTTCCTATGTGCTTGCTTCGCAAGACGAAAATGTCTTGCGAGCTCCTGCGGGGTTTTTTCCTTTTTCCCAAGCCGCTAAACCGCTTATCAGCTGATCGCTAAGCCGCTTATCAGCTGATCGTTAAGCCGCTTAACAGCTGATCGCTAAGCCGCTTATCAGCTGATCCGCTAAGCCCGCTAATACTGCAGCGCTAATCCGCTAAACCGCTAATGGGCTTGCTTCGCAAGACGAAAAAACCCGCAAGACGAAGAGACTCACGGAACGGATTCTTTTCGTCTTGCGAGGCACCACTGTACAGAGAATGATCTGCATTACCTTCTACAAGCCCCAGCCAGCACAAGGAATGATAGTCCAGCAACATCTGGCAGACACAGTCTCCCCACCTTCGGATTCTTAGTAGTTTAACACTGACGGTAAACTTAAAATACTTACGTTTTTGCCTTTGCATACTCCTTCGCCCAGTTCTGAACCATACCAGGCACCACTTCTTCAGATGTATCCTCCTTGTTTAACGACCACAGGTCTTTCGCTTCCAACGGCTGCCGATATCCTTGAATCATCAACCTACGTTAGAAAATGTGCAGCAGTTAGTCAAAGAGTGCATAGAAAATCAGAAAACCGAGGCCCTCCTCCCTGCAAGCCAAAAGTCATAGAAACAGCTGCAATTTCTCCTCTACTGAATAGCACACCAATTGGCATCATGGTTTTATAGTGTGATATAATCCCTCTCCCTAGAACAATATGGCCTCCCTCAAAAGCTCTCCATTCTTCTCCAGTCATGGGTAGCTTGTGGCTCAGGGTCCCTTCTATCCTTGAAACAAGATCAGCTTCGCCTTAGAGTGGAACTTTTTTTTGCTTTGCGTCTATTTTACAAAAATACAAAAAGCTTTCTTTCAGCTGTATTCAGCTGAACTCTTTACCTGGTTACTGTTGTTTTACACAACTGTATTTATATCAAATTCTATTATATTTATGCTGCTGTTGCTGTTTTTTAAGTATAGTGGTACCTCCGGTTGCGCATGCGATCCATTCCATAGGTCTGGTCGGATCCCGAGGAATTCGCAACCGGAGGTGCCGCTTCTGAACATGGCGCTGTTCAGCACCTCTGTGCATGCGCGTGCAATGAAACTCGTAAAAATACTTCCAGGTTTGCCACATACGTATCCTGAAGGATACATAACCGGAGGTGAATGCAACTAGAGTTACCACTGTATTTGTTTTAATGCTGCTTTTTAATAATAATAATATTGTGTATTGCTTTGGGCAACGTCCAGTGACAAAACCACTTACGGAGAACTGCAAGTATATATAATCAGTATTTCTGTAGCAGAAACATGGGACTAATAAGCCACAAGGCGCACAAGCGCAGCTCATGTGAAATGCAAACATAGGTGAATGCCTCAGACCACCAGCAGGCAACTTAAGCTCCACTAGATGGGTGCTGGACTACAATTCCCAACATCCCGGATCAATGGCCATCGTGGCTGAGGCTGATGGGAGTGGTCAAGGACACCCCCATCCCTGCCTTAGACAAGAAAAGAGGAAGGAAGGAAAACAGAGAGAGAATGAAAGAGAAAGAGAGAAAGAAAACAGCCAGCCCACTGTCTTTGAGAATTTCAATGCTCCACCCCTCAAATATGCTGTTATTCATATGGTCATTGCTTTATTTCACTTAGAATTCTTGATACACAACCGTTTTGTTTCTCATTTCTTTCTAAGGAGGAGCCAGCACCCAATATGACTTTGACATATTGGATAACAGAGCCTCGAGCAAACCTTAAACAGGCATAGGGAAAGTAGGTTGATGGAGCTCAAATGTGAACCATTTGTCCTCTTACCCAGTGATCCACCAGAATGTGATCCTGGACAGAAAAGAAGCGCTGGATTCCGGGCAGGGATTCTAAGGAGTGAAAAATATTCAAACTGTTACAAATCAGATTTAATATTTCTGCTTTTCTGCAGAATGTATCATCCAAGTCCTTTTTTTTTAATCCTAACAAAGCTTGCCACACCTAGTTTCTCATTTCCATCCCGAATTTTAGACGTATTATACACGCTAACTTGCACACAAACACTAAGGGTTCCCATTTAACATTATGAATTCAGTTCAATAATGCGTGCCAAATTAAAACCAAGCACGTAGATGGCGCGTCTCACAAAACCCCAGCGTGTGTTTGTATATAATGCATGAGAAACATTTTCAAATGGAGCTCTCTAACAGCGATAGGGAGAAGTACCAGATTTGGGACGGGGAGTGAGGTTTTATCATGCTGAAACCCCAAATTGGAGCCACTAGCTAATTCTCAGCTGCAAGGCCCCACTCCCTGCCTCTGCAATTAGACTCTAAGTTTTAAACAACATGTTCGAGAACACAGGAAGCTGCCTCAGAGCACCTCCTTTGCCTGTACCATGTCCCAAGGCTGACCCTGACATCTCCAGCTAAAGGCCCCCAATTGAAATCCTGGATGGTTCAGCGCCGAGGGCCTTTTGGCGGTTCCCTCATTGCGAGAAGCAAAGCTACAGGGAACCAGGCAGAGGGCCTTCTTGGTAGTGGCGCCCGCCCTGTGGAACGCCCTCCCATCAGATGTCAAAGCGATAAACAACTACCTGACATTCAGAAGACATCTTAAGGCAGCCCTGTTCAGGCAAGTTTTTAATGTGTAATATTTTAGTGTTTTTTGGTTTCTATGGAAGCTGCCCAGAGTGGCTGGGGAAACCCAGCCAGATGGGCGGGGTACAAATAATAAATTATTATTATTATTATTATTATTATTGATGATGATGCTAGTATTATTTATGCCGACAGGTAGAACTCCTGCAGGATTTCAGGCAGGGGTCTTTAGCTGGAGAGGACAGCTGGCTCTGTCTCTGAGCTATACTGCCCTTCGCTCAAATCCTCCTGCCACAAACCGAAAAATATTCCGGTCAATTGGAATCAGTGCTGCTTGGCTCCAAAAACACCTTAGCACACATATGGCAAGGACGTCAGCGGTTTTATTAGAGCTATCAGGAAAAACTTTCCCTTCCCCAGCCAAACCCGCAGCCAAACTAGAAAATATTCGGCGTCTCAGTCCCTCCCAACAGATTAAAGGCCCAGCCAATTATACAACATTAAGTCAGGGTTACGGAAAGGGCAGTCTCCCGGGTGGTGAGACATCGCTCAGTCCCTCACTTCCATTCTAGCTCAACGCCCAACCGCAGAGCTGAAAAGCAGCCGCCAACTTCAACAAAGAGCACATTGCCAAGGAGGAGAGCCCTTCGCACCAATCCTGGTTTGCGCTCCCTTCCTGGAGTGGTGAGCACAAAAGCCCACAGTGGCACTTGCTCAAGTTCCTTTCCCCGGGAATGAGAAAGCTTATACTTTCTGTTCTGCAAAATCTGTCTACTATATGCCCCAAACAAATGAAATACCATGAAAATCCCTGAAACGAGAAGTAATCGACTAGAAATATTATCTTGTAGAAATGGACTAAATAATAAAAATCAAAAAGTTTTAGGAAAAAATTAGAAAAACTTAAAACTGAACAAAGCCTTAACGGGATGCTGGCTACAAACCTCGTTCCACTGAACTATTCAGTTTCCTCAGAAGGAAACAGAAAAATCATAAACCTTAAATGACCAAAACTCAAAGAAAGGGGGTAGAACTCCCAAAAATTCTGAAGTATTATAATCCTAGCTTGACCTAGGTGAAGCAAAGGTCATTTAAGGTTTATGATTTTTCTATTTCCTTCTGAGGAAACTGAATAATTCAGTGAAACGAGGTTTGTAGCCAGCATCCCGTTAAGGCTTTGTTCAATTTTAGGTTTTTCTCATTTTTTTCCCTTAAACTTTTTGATTTTTATTATTTAGTCCATTTCCATAAAATAATATTTCTAATCGACTACTTCTCGTTTCAGGGATTTTCACGGTATTTCATTTCTCGGTTCCGTGACTGTCTTTTTTCTACTGCTGTCTACTGTACTTATATGCCAGCTTTTGCCAACCTGCCGCTCTCTAGCCCTGGCTGGCTTTTGCCGCCAGACAGCTTCCACCAACACCCCAATCCCAGCAACCATGAACCTGTCTCGGCCTCTTGGCTTCACGACTACCTCACTTGGCCTGTTCTTATCACCACCACCACCTGCAGGAATTCGGCTGGGTCCGGGAAAGGGAAGAGGGCTGCTTTGGCCACAAAGAGCCAAGCCGAGCGAGAACTCACTGCTCCTGGCCCAGGGACACAACACATTATAAAGTTATTTCTTCGGGCCGGAGACAAGGCACTCTCTGTCCTTGCTTTCCGCTGAACAGTCCAGAGTGTCCCTAACTTATCAAACAGCCGCTGGAGCCCCAACTGCCCTATTAATCATCTGCGTCTGGAAGCCTGTTTACATATGGCAGGGCTTGCGAGGTCAAAAACAACACATTGAGGCATGGTGGTCCCCGCCCTCTGGTGAAGGCGGAAAGCAGCAGCTAAAAAAAAAAAAGCCAATATGCTCTTATGTATCATCTCAGACGGATGAAACCAGGCACAAGTTATGCTTTGATTTAAAAGCAAGGGGAAACAGCAGCCGCTACCACCCACCCGACCATGATTATTATTTCCAAAGGAATGCCAAGGAGGCGGCGTAAGGATCTCCCCGATTCCTCTCCTAACTTTGGCACAGCCGGCACAACCACCTCTTGGTTACCAAGTGCGTTGTTGTGAAGTATAGAAGCCAAGCACTTCCCGCATTATCGCATTCCTTCGTGTGCTCAAGTTTTCCATGGAAGAACACCCATATGAACAACTCCCAAAAATAATAGAAAGCAGATCTGCATGGAAACCCCTCTGAACTACCAGAACAGCCAGTGGCCATTGATGAATATGGCTTAAAGGCAGTGAGATTCTCAGTTCTGGATCTGAGGAAAGGATGAACAGGCACAACGGGAAGGGGAGCCGGGGCCGCCTGCTTGCCAGCTCCACCTGCATTTTGCTATCTATCAAAACTAAGCTACTTGCAAGAGCCAGAGAGCAAGATTTTATCTGCCCCAGAGATCAAAAGAGGCAGAGAATAGGCTGAAGACAAATATTTATGTTGGCAGAAGTCAGTGGCAACAGGTCAAACACCATGAAGGGCTTTGACTGCTCTTTCTGACTGACTGCATTCCTGTTAGGAAGAAATGCACCCCCTTTGAAATGAATCAATTCACGACAAAACAGTCGCTGTAACCAAAAAGACCCGAGTTCAGGTTCCAAGCTAATTCTGCCTTGGATTACGTTACCATTCATTAGAGTCTTCATTAAGATATATTACTCAAATAATATAACTCTAAATGGGCAGCAGCAGCAGCAACAAGTACCATAATCTCTAGTACCATAAACCACTAGGGTGAGGTAGCTCTCTACTAACAAACAGGGAACTGAAAGCAAGTCCCTAGAGTGGGTAAGATTTGAACACAGGCCTCTCCTTCTGAAGAACATTTCTAACTTAGAAGTCATTTCCAGTTTTTAACCTGAATAACTGCTAACTTGTTTTGTTTACCTATTAAGAGTATTGTTTGCCATAGTTTCCATTTAGGAAGAGTGTTCTACCACAGTGTGCAATCAGCCAGCAGCACTACAGGGACAAGGCTACTGTAAGAATTCGCACCCATTACAGGGGTTGTTCAAGCACTACATCAAATGGTGGTTGGGCATAACAAAAATAAGACGAAAGGAATATTGGGCTCACATATGCTGTTCTTTCTTGGCACCCTGAGATTAGCAGCTTCTCAAACCTGGTTTCATAGTTTACTAACTGAAAGAACTGGGAAACTATAAATTGCTACCGAACCAGGAAGTCATCCATCAGTGGCTGGGATGGGCAATCATTCCAGGGTATCCTGGCTTATTTCTCCTAATTCGTTAACCTGCTGACATTAATCCACAGTTCCCCTTTTTCAAATATAACAGGGAACTCTGGCTTAATAAAAGCCAGGATCATAGAACCATAGAATTGTAGAGTTGGAAAGGACCTCAAGGATCCTCTAGTCCAGCCTTTCTCAACCTGTGGGTCCCCAGATGTTGTTAAACTACAACTCCCATCACCCCTAGCTATCAAAGCCAGAGCTCAGGGATGATGGGAGTTGTAGTCCAACAACATCTGGGGACCCACAGGTTGAGAACCACTGCGTCTAGTCCAACCCCCTACAATGAAGGAATATGCAGCTGTCCCATATGGGGATTGAACCTCCAACCTTGACGTTATGAGCACCACGCTCTAACCAACTGAGCTACCCAGTGACAGTGTGCTGAAACCAGCATGCAACGGGAAGGAGAATCGTTGTCTGAACTGAGCCACTGTGTGCAAGGGAGGAGGAGTGTATGCAAGCCAAAAGTTTGTTCTCGTGTGTGTCTGAATGCCGCTGCTGGCTACAGCTGAAGGTCCCAGCTTTAACCCTCAATGGCATCTCCTGTTGGGTTGGTAAATAATTCCTTCCTGAAACCCTGAAGAGCTGCTGCTGCTGCTGCTGCTGCTACCAGTCAGTGTAGAGAATTCTGAGCTAGATGGACCAATGCGCCTGTCTTGGTATAAATCAGATTCTTATGGGTGGTCTGCAAGTAACTTTTATTCAAAGTACAGTTGTACCTTGGAAGTCGAACAGGATCCGTTCCGGAAGTCCGTTCAAACCAAAGTGCGGCTTCTGATAGGCTGCAGAAAGCTCCTGCAGCCAATCAGAAGCAGTGGAAGCCCCGTCGGACGTTTGGCTTCCAAAAATAGTTTGCATACTGCAACGGTCACTTCCAGGTTTGCAACGTTCAGGAGCCAATACGTTCGAGAACTAAGCTGTTCAAAAACCAAGGTACGACTGTATACCTGCTGAAATTAATGACTGTGACTAAGTTAGGTACGTTGATTTCAGCTAGTCTACTATCAGGAAAAGTAAGCTGAATAGCGCTGACTGCTCTTCTTTTTCCAGTTTTATTCCGCCGCTCGGTCCCAGCTCAAACTCCCAAACCAGCTCACCTGTTCACTAAAATCAGTATCATGGTCTGGCTGAGCAAATACATAAACCACCAGAGGCCATTTAAGTCCGCAAGGTACATCACTGTCTAAAAATAAGAACTCACAACTATGGACCTAATTAAGAGCTAAATCACAACTGTCAAGCCGGGGAAATGGTGCTAATCCCACGAAACAGAGAGAAGGCCTGTGCACAAACGAGATAGCAGAAATGACCGCTTCCCGGTTCGTGAGCGTCTTTGCAGAGATTTTTGAACAACAGTTTAGGATACACAGACACACAAGTTTCCACACTGCAGTATTTATAGGACCAGAAAAATAGGAAGAAAATGACCTTTAAGAAATAAAACCACCACCAACAATTTGGCCAATAAACTTGCTTCTTTCTAGAAACTCTAAGAAGAGAGTTCCAGAATTCTTATTTTAAGAATTTGTTTGCATATAATATGGTCAAACAAAATTATTAGAAGAAAACTGGTAAGAACACTGGCAGGATTACTGTAATAGCCTGCAGTTTTAGAGGAGTATATATTTAAAGTGGATGAATAAAAGAGCAAATTAAGTTACGGTAATTTGGATATGCAGAATATGTTAAAAAATACATTTAAGGAACCGCAGAAAAAAGGGGAAGGAAGTCAAGTTTTCAAATGTTAAAATGAGTATAAAATTATTGAAATGTATAAAATTGAAAATCAATCAATCACAAAATTATTAGAAGCAATCTACTTAAGCAAATTCCCAGGCGTCCCTCAGAGAGGCACCTCCCACGGAAAAATTACTTACAGGGTCATGAACTGTTTCCGAAAACAAAGGCGGCCTCTCAGGGAAACAGGATAGTATCAGCTGGATCAGCACCAAAGTGAAATAGATGTAGAATGTAATATAACGAAAAACATCGACTTCAGAACCCTAGAAGAAGACATTGAATGCTGCAGTTAGCGGGCTGACAAAAACCAGCAAAATAACGTACGTTGTAGAGAAAGGAAATGGAGAAAAATCTCTCATCAATACTTGGGCGCATCCAACGAAATTGGAGGAGATTCGGGGCAGAGGTAAAGAAGGGCGTCTTCACACATTATGGAATATGGTATGCCGTAAAACGTGCTGACTGCCACAGTTTTAGAAGGTTTTGAAGGAGGTTAGAGAAGTCCAATGAGAAGGAAGAGAAGGGGATTCCAATGGCTATTATTCCATGACAATCTATAGCATGGGTAGGCAAACTAAGGCCCAGGGACCAGATCCGGCCCAATCGCCTTCTAAATCCGGCCCACGGGTGGTCTGGGAATCGGCGTGTTTTGACATGAGTAGAATGTGTCCTTTTATTTAAAATGCATCTCTGGGTTATTTGTGGGGCCTGCCTGTTGTTTTTACATGAGTAGAATGTGTCCTTTTATTTAAAATGCATCTCTGGGTTATTTGTGGGGCATAGGAATTTGTTCATTTCCCCCCAAAAAATATAGTCCGGCCCCCCACAAGGTCTGAGGGACAGTGGACCGGCCCCCTGCTGAAAAAGTTTGCTGACCCCTGATCTATAGACTCGCCATGTTCAGAGGCAGCTCTGCACACACCTGAGAACGAACCATTTCCTCAAGCCTTGTTTTGTTTTTCATTATTTACTTGTTTTTATCCTGCATTTTATTCTGTGAACTGCCCTGAGAGCTTATGATGGGTGGTATGGAAATAAATAATAATAATAATAATAATGTAAAAAAGCTGTAGCAAATGGAAATGTTTGCGTTTTACAGCGTGCTAGAATGTGCATCCGCATGCGCACACTAGTTAACACATCTTAAAAAAATAAAAACACAGAAAATTCTCTGCATAATGATCAGGGGAAAGAACAAAACATTTCCCCAGCTCTTTCAACAGCCGCTGCCCACTGCTTTGGTCGGGGGTGTGTGTGTGTGTGTATCTCTAAACTGCATTTCCAAGGAGGCTGCAGGGCCGTTTTGATAGTCCCTTAACAAGCTCATCCAGGCTTTGATTTGAGTTTCAAACAAAAAGGAAAAAAGGAAAGCGAGCACACTTTAGTGGCCTTTAACGCTTCGGAATGAGGTTTAATGGGTCATTAACTCACTTGTGTGGCTGCAGAGATTGCCAAGAAAAATCCCGAGTTTAATCATTAAACAAGCAACCGATTCCCTTCACGATTTGAAAGAGTCATCTGTGCTTAGCGGAGGCTGCTTACCGTACTCGAGGCGTGCATAATTTTGGATCTAAAAGTTACGGTGGCGCACAGGAGCGCAATAAGCCAGAAGAGCAACATGACTCCTGAAGACTGGGCTCCTTTCATCCTCTCGTACTGTATCAAAAATGTGGCAAGCAGCTGTGGAGATATCAAAGGGCAGGAGATTACTGTTCCATCAGAACGATGATGGCAAAGCAAAATGAGAACAAGGCCACAAATCCTCCCCTTGGACACAGCTCAGTTGGTTAGAGCATGGGGCTGATAATGTCAAGGTTGCAGGTTTGATCCCCATATGGGACAGTCATATATTCTTGCATTGCAAGGGATTGGACTAGATGATTCTCAGGGTACCTCCCAACTTTATGATATTTATTGATCTACAGTTGTACCTTGGTTTTCGAACAGCTTAGTTCCTGGACGTTTTGGCTCCCGGACGCCGCAAATCCGGAAGTGACTGTTCTGGTTTGCAAACTATTTTTGGAAGCCAAACGTCCGACGTGGCTTCCACGTCTTCCGATTGGCTACAGGAGCTTCCTGCAGCCAACCAGAAGCACGCTTTGGTTTCCGAATGTTTTGGAAGTCAAATGGACTTCCAGAACAGATTCCGTTTGACTTCCAAGATTGTATTTTGGACTGTTTTTTTTTTTTTTAAGACATAGTTTTTATTGATTTTCACAGGTTTTAAAAATTTACTTATATTTCAACATATGTTTTTCTTAAAATTTTGACTTCCCACCCTTACTCCAGTGATGTTTTTATTTCCACCTTATACCTACTGCTTTATATGACAAACTTTAATCTAATACAATTATCTTCTATTTCACTTATCATTGTTTTCATTCTGCACTTGTGATTCGAACCCTGCCCGTGTTTTCATTTGACTATAACAGTATTGCAAATAGTCCGAAAAGGGTCTCCACTCTTCCATAAACAGTTGGTCTCTTATCACTGTAGATTTCGCTATTTCCGCTGTAGTGCATCAGATTTCGCCATTTCCGCATAGTCCATTAACTTTTGAAACCATTCCTCCTTGGTTCTCTGATCAGGAGTTCTGCAGGAATCCGATCTAGTAAGGCAGCAACAAGCTACTGCCGGGATTTACAATCAGGACACAAGCATAATGAGGTTTCCTACAGGTGGAAACGGTTCGTTTTAGCTGTCCCCATTGTCCTTGGTTACAAACAAAACAAGTTCTGCCGCTAAAATGAAGCTGCAGAAGAATAAAACATCATTTTCACTCACCATTGTTATGCCCAAAATCGTAGGGCTGACTAAAAAAACAGGAGCTCGGAAAATGTTGTGACTTCTTTCCCAGAAAGAGTAGAAAAGGTCTGCCCAGCAGACTATCCACAATAAGAGGCCCAAGGCCTGAAACAGGAAGGGGAAAAAAGATCATTTTCAGATAAATGGTCCTCATGAAACATAGAATTGGGAGAAGGTCTCTTAGCAGCATTTTATATGGAGCTGCTTTGTGTGCGCATGTGAATGGACTGGGCTGGTGGAACAATTGATTCTGAAGACTTTAGCTTTCATATATATCATACAGACCCTCCAAGTGTCCCTATTTTCCAGGGGCTTAAGAGAAGCCATCCCAGTTTTTGATTTGATCCTGGAATGTCCTGCTTTTCCTTAGGATGGCCCTATTTTCATTGGAGAAATGTTGGAGGGTAGGAAGTTATCCGACACAGCCCCCCCCCCCCCAGCCGTCTGAAAGCATTCCTGTATAGGGAAGTTTTAAAATGTTTAATGTTTTATTATGTTTTTATATATGTTGGACGCTACCCAGGCAACCCAGTAAGATGTGTGGAGTCTAAATAGTAAAATTATCATTATGGAATGGGACGTCCTTATTTTCATCGGAGCATGTATGCACCACTTACTGTTTTGGCTTTGTTGAGATGTGACATTTGGATGTATCCCCTGTCATGGCGCTGGAGGTACACGAAGTAGATTGGGAAGCAAGCCCAGAGGTAAATGCAAGGGATCCAGGTGAGGACGGTTTTCTGAAAGCACTTGGTGAAGTCTGGGTTCTCGGTGTACCATGTTAAATTCCAGTCCTGAGAAAAGAAGGGAACAGGTTAGCACACTGTAGAGTTTGCAGGAGGCCCTGGGTTTAATCCTCAGCATCTCCAGGTGGGGCTGTGAATGTTCCCTGCCTGAAACCCTGGAGAGCTGCTGCCAGTCGGTGCAGGCAATACTAAGCTACATGGGCCTGTGGTTTGCCTCTGCATAAGACAGTTCCCTCTGTTCCCGCTTCTTGCAGGCCACCTGGAGGGTCTTCAAATCAAAAGGCAGGATAGAATCATAGACTTGGAAGGGAGTATGAGGGCCATCTGGTCCAACCCCCTGCAATGCTGGAATCTTTTGCCCAATGTGGGATTCGAACTCACGACCAAGAGATTAAGAGTCTCATGCTCTACCGACTGAGCTATCTCAGGAATGCCATTTGGACAAAAGTTTTATGAATCGATCAATCAATCGCCGCCAAATAAACAACAACAGTAATACAAATCAGTAGCATTAGTCTCTTGTGGTGACATTGAAAGGTCAATGAAAGTAAATACATTGAGGATTGGGTCCTGCTGATAAGCAATGCTACTTGGTGGGGTACGTATGCCTTTAACAACGGCTGAAGGGCAAAGAGGAAGCCCAAAAAGCAGTGAAGATTTTCTTTCCAGCATGGAAATGCGAGGAAGCGAGAGAGCTGCGTCCACTGAATACCTTCCTTGTGGGTGATAAAGGTAAAAAAGATGCTGTCAGGATGTAGCAGGAACCCCCCCACCCCAATCATTCAGTTTATACAAACTTCACACACTCACACTCACACACTACATATGCCACACTTCTGTTATAAATTCATAGAAAAATCAACCATACATTGGATTTGCACTGTTCCATTTTTATTTTACTCCATATGACAAGGACTATCAAAGGGGGGTGGCTTGGTTCTGGTCAGCCATAATCCCTTCACCATCCCAGCACATCCACAGGAGCCCGGCCCAGTTGCTATGCCAACCCTGATGGTCCTAGACAGAAGACCATCAAGATCACAAAGAACTTGCATATGGGAGTGGATTCAGCATGGACTGAAACAAAGGACAATGATCAGATCTTCCCTCTGGGGGCAGGAAACTGCCAACTCCCCTTTGTCTCCTGGAAGTGACTCATGGGCCGGGGGGAGGAAAGGAGGAACCAGCCAGGTGACAGGACACTCAGGTTACCACCACAACTCCTCCCTCAACCCCTCCTTTCTGTAATGTATGCATGATGTCAACCCCTCCTTTCTGTAATCTATGCATGATGTTTCTGGGGGTGGGCTTGACCTAGAGGATGGGAATTTCAAAAGTTTTTATAAGGTCTTGCACACCATCTTTCTGGGTCTTTTCCTCTCTCCTGCAAGTGAGGGGAACACCCTGTTGCAACAGTCTTTTCTTCAATAAAGACCAAGCCTACTGGCTGCTGATTTGCTTCCAATTGCTCTGGTTGGTGTCTTTGTTTTTGTCCAAGGGAGCCCTCAGATTTTCCGTTAACAAGGAGAAGGCGAATCTCCTTGTCAGCAGATATATTTAATTAAGTTAATTAAGTTAGCATTGGCATGCTTCCTCCCTGTCTGAAACCCCAGAGAGCCATTGCCTGTCAGTGTAGAGAGAAACTAAATGCACCAATGAGCTCTTACAAGCCAGCTTCCTACGTTTCTTTTCAATCGCCTTTCTATTTCAATTGGAGAGGGTTCTTACTTCCTTGCCTGGGCCTTTGCTGGAGACATGGGACTACATTTCCTGGCAAGTGGGTGGCTGTGTGTTTCTGGGGAGGTGTCTACTACTCTTCTGTTGTTCTATTTAAGCTTGCTCTGGCTCTATTTATACTTGAAACTATATCTGAATTTCATGTGCTGCTTATACCTTCACTGCTACTGCCACACACTGCTAGCTGTGTCTGCTATGGCTTTTGCTTCTATCGACTGACAAATTTATATTGCTTACTGTTTACTGATACGGCTGTGCCAATGCTTATCTATTTACGCTGTTTGCTGCTTTGTATTGCCTGCAATACTCTTGTCAACAAATAACAAGAGATAATCTAGAGATTAGATTTTACTGAGATGCTGCAACTTTACTCAGGACTGATGCTATCACTGCTGCTCGGGGAAACAGAGGAAGAATTTGGAAGCGAGATTTGTTTTCCGTTTCTGAAAGCCACTTTTTAACTCTCGGGTTTCTGGCGTAACAGGCAAGGAGCATCAAGGCGAAGTTACTGAGACCAGACACAGTCTTTGGGCAAGAAAACTTTTAAGGAAGGCTCCTCTGCTCACTTCCTGTTCCTCTGTCTCATTAGCCTGAGGCCAGACAAACTGGGTGCAACAGGGTCACCTGCTGTATTGTTGAGACGGTGCTTGTGCCAAGCCATTTGCTTGGTGGTTTTCCTGTCTGTCTGGTTCATGCCAACTCAGAAACATTATGCTCCTCCAGTCGTGTGCAAGTCAAGTCTCCAAACACTGACCTAAAAGTTCACTGCTCCACTCATAAAGTGAGTTATTTTGTCGCTTAAAAACAGCAACAACAATCAACAACACAAGTGGGCTTAAAGGCCCATCTAGCTCAGTACAGTCAACACTGACTGGCAGCATCTCACCAGGGTTTCAGGCAGCAATCTCTCCCAGCCCTACGTTGGGTTGCCAGGAAACAAACCTGTGTCATTCTGCATACAAAGCAGGTGCTCTGTTGTTGATCTACAGCCGTTCTCCAAAAAAGAAAAAAAACACGAAACACCGAGTTTTGCAAAGCTTTCCTACTAGGTAATCTACAGAGCGATTCTGACTTGTCGCAGCCACTCGGGCAAATGACAATTCACACCATTTCCCTGGCTGCCTCACCTCAAAAGGGATATTTGTAAGAGTTGGGAAAGGTTTGGAGAAGGGCAACCAAAGTGATCGAGGGGATGGAGTGGCTCCCCTACGGGGAATGGCTGCAGATGGGAATGAGAGGAGACGCAATCGAGGTGGATTAAACTGTACGTGGCATAGAACAGTAGCAGACAGAAAGTAAGTTTGCCTCCTCCTCTCGCATACCGCTAGAACTCGTGGACATGCAGTGAAGATGAACACTGGGTGATTTGAGACGGATAAAAGAAAATACTTCTTTAGGCAGTGCATAAACTATGGAGCTCTCACACACAGGAGGCAGTGACGGCCCCCAATTTGGATGACTTTAAAAGAGCACTGGTCAAACATGAGGAGGAGCTATGATGGCGATGCTCTGCACCCAAACCTGGAAACAATATGCTTCTGAACACCCCTTGCTGGAAACCACAGGAGGGGAAGAGTGTTCTTGTGCCCGGGTCCATAAGCATCTGTGTAGCCACAATGACTACCCAGATGTGGGAATAGATGGGCCATTGGCCTGATTCAGCAGGCACTTATTATGTTCTTATGGATTTGTGTACCTGGATGCTAAAGCTTAGACCAGCCTTCCCTAACCTGTTCCCTTCAGATGTTTGGGTCCAACACCCATTTTCCCTAGCCAATAAGTGGTCAGGGTTGCAGGGAACTGTAATCTCAACACATCCTGAGGTCACCAAGTTGGGGAAGGGTGGTGTTGGTGTTTGTGCATTCCATGGGGAAAACCATCCTGCATCTTCAAAAGCAAAAGGTTTTAAAAAAAAAAAAAAAAAAAAAGGGTAAAGGACCCCTGGACGGTTAAGCTTAGTCAAAGGTGACTATGGGGTTGCGGCGCTCATCTTGCTTTCAGACTGAGGGAGCTGGCGTTTGTCCACAGACAGCTTCCCAGGTCATGTGGCCAGTATGACTAAACTGTTTCTGGCACAACAGGACACCATGACGGAAGCCAGAGCACACGAAAACGCTGTTTACCTTCCCACCACAGTGGCGCCTATTTATCTACTTGAACTGGCGTGCTTTCGAACTGCTAGGTTGGCAGGAGCTGAGACACAGCAACAGGAGCTCACCCCGTCGCAGGGATTCGAACCGCCAACCTTCTGATTGGCAAGCCCAAGAGGCTCAGTGGTTTAGATCACAGCGCCACCCATGTCCCATCTTCAAATGTACACTGGCATCTTCAAAAGCACACCTAGAAGCCACACCAGAGTGCTAATCAAATTGGCAGTAATGGATATTATCAAGATTCTAGCCAACTCAGTTCAGCAACTCTGTAATAATACAATTGCTTCCTACCCTGCAAGATTTCACCTGTAAGCAGCTCTGCTCTCTATGAAGCCTATCAAATTCTATGCTGTGGGTCCTTCCAGCATTGCAAGAGGCTGCAAGGAATTTCACAGCACCAGCCTGATTTCAGCGAGGGGAGGACGCCCAGCAAAAAAAGCGCCTTCCAGATCGCACCCACTGAGTTTTTGGCGCCTGTCATGACACAGCATCCGATTACTTCACAGCAATGCCAGAAATGCCCTAACGAGATTAGCTTAGCTCTCCCGGTAGCCCCTCCAAAACCCTGTGAGAGAGATTTGCTGGCTATTTTTAATTATGAGCAGAGCGCGGGCAAAGAGAAAGCTATTTTAATGGAAAAAAACAAAAGATTAAGAAGCTCCCACCCAATTGAGCAGCAAGCCAACCGTAACAGAAGGAGGGATGGTGAGAATAGAGAAAGTACCTTCCCAAAGGAAATGGGAAGTTGGATCAAAATTCAACAGAGATTTATTCATTTATTTATTAAATTTACACCGCCCTTCATCCGAAGATCAAAGGGCAGTTCACGACACTCACTCTTGTTTTTCATGGAGACACCTTCTGAGGCTTCTATAAGCCAGGGTAAAGAAGGTACATGAAACCTTCCCGAATGAAAAAAGACAAGGGTTCTGGACATGATGTCTGCGTCTGCAGTGTAGAATGGTCTCCTGTCCCGTCCCATGCATGGAATTTGGTGCCCAAAGATGGGGACTGAGATGTACTGGTAACAAGGCAAGGGTTTCAGTGCCTGATGCAACTCCTTGTCCTTTACTCATGGCTGTCGATATCTATTTGATTTTTTTATTATGTGCAATCCCAGAGTTGAACACAAAGAAAACTATGTCTGAAAAATTAAAAATTAAAATCAGGCCAAAGGACAGCACAGGTGGTGGCAATTCATCAATTCCAGGTGGTCAAAACAAAATCAGCCACCCTGAAAAGCCTGGGTGAAGAGGCACATATTCTGCAAGTTCCCATCACTTCAGCCCACCTAGCTCCCCTATTCTCCTGTTCTCTGCTTAGAAATTCCAAATTCTTGGGGAACCTGAGGAGGAGAGTATATAAATGATGCAAAATAACAGTGTGCTATTTCGGTACCATTACAAAACACACACAACAACTCTAAAACAATTTCATAGTTTCGTAGCACATCTAGCAAAAGGCATTTAAGGATCACCTCTCTGCAATGAGAACAGAGTTTATTCTTCTCGGAAATCAGGGCTGATATCTCCACCTTTTCAGAGACCCATACAGCCTGGTAGCTTTCATAATCTCTATACAAACACACAGGTTTTGGGTGACAGCTTTGCTTTTGGTTTAAGTGGAGAGTTGTAGTTCAGTCATCGGACGAAGAGTACAAAGTACCTTGCGGCTTTTGTTAAGTCTGCACTCCATGGTGGGTGCTGCGCTCACAAGCCTTCCAGCCTGATCCCAAGAACGCATACACTGAAATAAATCCCATCATGTTCAACAGGACTTAAAAGCGTGTATAGAATTTCACTCCCCTAACCGCATGTCTTTTGCAGTGAAGGCTTCTTGGCTATTGCTATCCCACGCCTACAGCATTCCTTGCAGGATTTGTGATGCAACACACAGCTTACGTTACAGAGCATATCAACACTTAGCTTTAAGACCGTTGGTTCTGTTGTGTACCAATTTCACCCTCTTGCCATCAAGCTCCCCGCCCCTTGCCCTGTTGGGAAAAGGAAATCCTGGTCTGAACAAAAACTCCAGAGATCAAGTAGAGAATAAAACAAGTTTGTCCAGCCAAGTTCAACTCAGATTCACTGAAGTCAACAGATCTAAGTTAGCCATGTTCATCGGGTCCACTGAGTAGGACTAAGATAGGATACAACCCATTAAAAATAATAACTTTATACCCCAGCCTGTCACCCAGCAACCTGCTTAGAATTCATCCACGGGGAGATTAAGCCCAGAATGTGAGCTCCCTTCTCACAGAATAAGCACGCCCCAGCTTACGTGATTGCAGCAATTATATAAAAGGGGAGGGGAAAACCAAAGACTTTGTTAAATGAGGAAGCGGGGGAAGATTTTTAAAGACAGGAATGCTCAGAGCTAAAAGAAGGAAAATGCAGGACAAATGCAAGGGACTATATTTGCACAATGGGGCAACGGAAAGATAAGAGACGGGAAGCCGTTTTTGCATGACCTGAATCTGCACTCCTTTGTTGACAGCTCTGCAGATGTTAAGAGGAGCCTCTGGAAAGTAGAGGAGGGGTGAAGGCATGACAGCTCACATTTTATTTGGCGGTGGGTGACCCTGGGTGAACCCGGCACCGAGTGAAGCCTCACATAACCTTCCCAGGGGCTGAATATAGCAAGGCATCTTTCAACCCCAGCCTATGCCTGACGTTTGAGCACCTGCCTTTTCAATCTGGGAAGCTTATTGAGCATGCAAAAGGATGCACATACACCCCCCCCACACCAGATCTTACTTTAAAAATTAACATAACGAAGACGAGGCAGATGCCCTTCCTGCCTTTTCCTATGCCCTCCAGAGATACTGAAGCTTTCGCACCACTGCCGCTAGCATTATCAGTACTTTAGCCTTTCAGGGCAGTTGCACGCACTGTCAATCCTGCAATAATCCGGTAACTCACACCACATTTAAAGAATGAGCTTAGGGTCAACACCTGCTTCTTCATCCCTTGGAAAGGCACCCAAAAACAGCAGCAGTCTGGTTGCAACAGACTAATATTTATTTATTTATTCATTCATACATACATACATACCCCGCCCATCTGCCTGGGTTTCCCCAGCCACTCTGAGCGGCTTCCAACAGAATATTAAAATACAATAGTCTAGTAAACATTAAAAACTTCCCTAAACAGGGCTGCCTTCAGATGTCTTCAGATGGCAGAAGCTTTCAAGGGCTAGTACAAGGATGGGCTAGTACAACGTGTTGCTGGACTGCAGCTCCCATAATCACTGGCCATTGGCTAAGCTGGCTGGGGCTGATGGCAGCTGAAGTTCAGCAACATCTAGAGGGCACATTGGCTACCCATGGTCCATGACTATTGGCCATGTTGGCTGGGTTGATGAGAGTTGGAGCAGACTAGAGCCTCAGTCCATAAACATTTTGTGTATGAGGTGTTTGGGGAGGGGTAGTACCTCTGGTGGGGGCGGGGACATGTTGTGCTCCTTCTGGGGTAGTCTGTCCATCTTTGGTCCCCACGCTGCACTCGGCTCTCACCTGTGGCTCCTAGAAGCTGTCAGCAGGCAACAGCAGCAACGTTCCGGGAAACAGCTTTGACTGGCCGGCTAAACCAGGGGAGAGGTCCCAATGGGTCTCAAACCCTCAGTGAGTTAGGGACTTCCCCTGCGTGCAAAGACAGGCTCCAGTGGATTGAGCAGACAAGACCAACGGTCAAGAAGGCAGTTTCTGCACATGATCTAGCGCAGTGGTTCTCAACCTTGCGTCCCCGGATGTTTTTGGCCTACAACTCCCATGATCCCTAGCTCACAGGACCAGTGGTCAGGGATGATGGGAGTTGTAGGCCAAAAACATCTGGGGACCCAAAGTTGAGAAAGGCTGATCTAGCGGGAAGTGAGGGGCACATGGAGCTCGTCAACCTGGGAAGCCCATTTCTCTGCTCTGCTGCTTCAGACTGAGGTTCATGGCAGGGGAAATCACACAACAATGTTCCTTCATCCAAAATCTGAGCGGGAGGGAAATATATATAAATATATATATATATATATATATATATATATAGAAGAAAGAAAAATCCCAGAGAGAGAAAATAAGATTATCATGGAGTGTGCTTTCTCAACAAGCTGATTATCTACATAAAGGGAATTTTCTTCACATGGAAGCATCCAGCCACACAAACTCCCACTTGCAGCCTGAAGCGATAACTGCCCAGAAACAGACTTGCCACCTTATCTGCAGCTTGTGCAAGCATGGCCTTAATTAACTAGTGGCAGTGCTTTGCTAGGCACTAATGTTTTTATTTGGCATACAAAGCAGATTATTCAAGTGGGATGAGCTTGGTATATTTCACTCCAACTCTGACGTTGTGAACTATTAGAATACCACAACCTGGGATGGATCCCGGGAGCGAAACAAACACCGGCTCTTAAAGCAGGTCCCTTCTGACCCCCGTTATATTTGGGGGGAGCAGAGGCAACAAGTAACAGGTGGGTGACTTGCGGAAAGGTTCCCCAAGGAAGAATCCTCACCTGAACAGAGTCATCTTAAAGGTCATCTGAGGGCACATCCAAAAAACTTTGACCACCTTGAGAAAACCATACACACCTCCCCACCAACTTCTTCCACAGGTATTTTCTATGACTTAACTGTGCAACGAGATGCAATGCATCGAAAATGAAATTACTGCAATATGCTGCTACTTCACGGCAGGGTGTGCCATCCCTATGGCAAACACTGCCGCCCCCTCCCTGCAAAAATCCTGCAGGTAATTACAGCAACCGGCAATTCAACCAGGTCTCCTGTGAAGAAAATGCCTGGAAAATCTATCTCTGCAAATCAAGGAACATCTGCTGCATGCATTTTACCTCAAACAGCACCTCGAAACAACCTTTGCCACTGTTATTTTGCTTTTACACCGGTTAACTACACACAGAAGTTTGCTGTGTTCCTAGCACCAAATTGAAAGATCCTGGCAATCTGCAGTTTTAACTAAAGGAAATAGAAAAGAGCAAGCAAGTTGCTACAAAGACTCTCAAAAAGATAAGCAATTTCGGGTGAAAACTCCACGCCAAAAAGGAGGACAAAGCAAAGCAGCCTGTTCCGAGTTCAAAACGCTTAACAGCCAATTAATATTACTTTTCACCCGCCCACAGAAGTGTGCACCAATGGAGACCGCAACAGGTTATTTCTAGAATTTTAATCCTTTGAAGACAAATGTAACCTGAATTAGTAAGCTACATTTTTTTGCATATCAGACACTGGACACTGAAAAGTCACTATCAGAAAGCCTGCATGTATGTACTTTGCAGCAACCATCAACTACGTAGGCAAACATTATTATCTGATCCGATCCGGCCAGATCTCTTTCTGCAAGGTTATTAGGACATATTATCAGAGCAACTCACTTATCTCAGAATAAGAGCAATCACACTGTTATCCGCATCGTGCATCATTAAGCCCTGCAGTTATATTATAAAGTAGATTTGAAATCAGCTTGCCCAATTCAGAAGCACAAGGGAATTCGCTTACTGGAGAAAACAAGTAAAATAAATTGTGAAAAACAGTCTGAAGGCACATGATGCAGCCACTACACTGAAGCTAAGAAACTCTGAGTTTGGCTCAGTATCTCAACAGACCCCTTGGGGCCCCTTGTAAATGCTGCACTGAGTTCCACAGGCGGAAATAATACCGACACTAAAATAAAAACCAACAGGCACAAGATTCAGAGGAAATCCATGGATGTGTCAGTAATAAAGATACTGACACATTGGCTGTACAGGTAAGTAGAAAACCGTTTATTAAGTGAGCACAGTTCCTCTCTTCTGAGCAGAACGGAAATTCCACAAAGTGTCCTGATTTATGGCACCTCTTGGGAAAGGAAAAATGGGAAATACCTAGAGAAAGGGTCATGGTGTACTGGAGTTGTGAACCCAAGAGCAAGCTAGTTGTAAAAGCCAAGCAACTGATGAAACAACAGCTTGTTTTAAGGGCAAGATTTACTGGGTGTATGAAAGGAATTTGGGGGGGGGGGCCACAAAACAAAAACTGTAAGTTGCAAGGAGAATGTGAACAATAGGCTTGCCTCAAATGTAACTTATAGCAGAGTTGCCTCTACTGGGTGTAAAGGTAAAGGGTAAAGGGACCCCTGATCATTAGGTCCAGTCGCAGACGACTCTGGGGTTGTGGCGCTCATCTCGCTTTATTGGCCGAGGGAGCCGGCATACAGCTTCCGGGTCATGTGGCCAGCATGACTAAGCCGCTTCTGGCGAACCAGAGCAGTGCATGGAAACGCTGTTTACCTTCCCGCCGGAGTGGTACCTATTTATCTAATTGCACTTTGACGTGCTTTTGAACTGCTAGGTTGGCAGGAGCAGGAACCGAGGAACGGGAGCTCACCCCATCGCGGGGATTCGAACCGCCAACCTTCTGAACGGCAAGCCCTAGACTCTGTGCTTTAACCCACAGCGCCCCCGCACCACACTACTGTGCATAGTGCCACATACTAAAAGCACTGGCCTTTTCAAACAATGCCTTTTTCCCCACCGCTCTCGTTTCCCCTCCTGCAAACAGCATTCATGGGGAGAGCACCAGATCAGCAGCCCAAAAACACACGAGAAATGTCCAGATCAGCTTTGACAGCGGTGCTATTGATTAGCCAGAGTCAGAAGGCTACAGGGCCCACCAGCAGGCAGCGAAGGCACCCTCTCAGCATTTAAATCCCAAAGAGAAGCGGCAGTCCTCAAACAAATTGCTCCAGCGTCGGTCACACAAATGCAGAGTAAACAGATTTTCTTTCCCATTCTATTTCAGCAGGTTACTGGAACAAACTACAGCCCTTTAAACAGCGGTCTCTTTTCAGGGATGTCAAGCAAGGCAGGAGGGCCACGTTTTCCTTCCAACAGCGGTGCAAAAGGTAGAATTTTGCTATGTGCAGTTTCTCGTGGCAGGAAGAGATGTTTCCTGCATGACTTCAAAAAGCAGAACAGCCTTGTCCTAAACAGAGCTGGCCCAGGCATTTTTATGTCACAGGAATAATAATATATTTTTTTTAAGTACTGTGCAGTAACAGTTCCAAACTTTGGTTCTCCTTGAACAGCATTCATCATAATCATGAGTCACAAATATCTGCGGGAAAAAGCACTGACTAAGCCATGGAAACAAACAAAAAGATGAGTTGGGTAGAAAGTCTGTTGCTGTATGGAAGGAGGAGTCATGGGAAGATCAGGGGGGAAAACTCGCTTCTATCTTTAAATTAACTGTTTACCACTATATCCAAACCCAGATAAATGTGGCAATTCTTTAGTATGTTTGACTGAAGCCAGCTAACAACAAACCATAGTTAAGATTAACCACAGTTTAGGGTTCAGACAAAACACTAAACTGCTGCTTACTGAAAATGGAAGCAAAAGCTTCCGATCTCTCCTTGTGAGACAGAGGTAGAAAAGCACACAAAAGTTCAGCACCTTATCTGAATATAAGGTAAAATGCAGGAAAATGGCTGCACAGGTTGTAAAGAGGGTGCTAAATCCACAAAAAAGCAGAGACATCACCTTGCCAACAAAGGTCCATATAGTTAAAGCTATGGTTTTCCCAGTAGTGATGTATGGAAGTGAGAGCTGGACCATAAAGAAGGCTGATCGCCGAAGAATTGATGCTTTTGAATTATGGTGCTGGAGGAGACTCTTGAGAGTCCCACGGACTGCAAGAAGATCAAACCTCTCCATTCTGAAGGAAATCAGCCCTGAGCGCTCACTGGAAGGACAGATACTGAAGCTGAGGCTCCAATACTTTGGCCACCTCGTGAGAAGAGAAGACTCCCTGGAAAAGACCCTGATGTTGGGAAAGATGGAGGGCACAAGGAGAAGGGGACGACAGAGGACGAGACGGTTGGACAGTGTTCTTGAAGCTACCAACATAAGTTTGACCAAAGTGCGGGAGGCAGTGGAAGACAGGGGTGCCTGGTGTGCTCTGGTCCATGGGGTCACAAAGCGTCGGACACGACTAAATGACTAAACAACAAACAAATCCACAAAAAGAGCTGTTCTGGGTTGAACCAAGGCCTACATCCCAGTCCTAAAGTGGCCGATCAGATGCCTCACAAGCAATATGTGCCTCGTGCTCACACTTTGGGGAAAAGGAGGTTCAAATGCAACCATGGCTCTCTGCCTACATGAGAAACTTGTTCAACTACTGAAGCTTGCCAGGCTTACCAGAGAAGGGGTAGTGGTTAGAGTATGAAGAGCACAACCAGGGAGAACCCGGTTCAAATCTCCACTCAGCCATGAAACACACCAGGTGACCTTGGACCAATCTCTTGGCTCTTAGTCCTACCTGAGCAGGGTACAAATAAGATAAAATGTAGAGGAGTTTTCTTATGCATCCCCATGAGCTCCTCGAAGGAAGGGCAACATAAATATAACTAACAATACCAGGGAGAAGCGAAGATGGTATCCTTGAGGAGTAAAAATATTCTCTAGCAGAGACACATAGGAGCCGATCCGTTAAATGTTTTCTCCAGGAATTTGGCAGTTTCAACAAAAGCAAAAGCTCTAGAGATGGGCGGTCCAGCTCGCAAGGCCCTTGGCAACATTCAAGGAAAAACATCTTAAAGCCTTAAAATTATATTTTGTGTGTGTGCGTCATTGATTGATTGATTGATTTTATTTCCATGTCACTTTTCATTCACGTGAACCACAAACTGGCTTTCCAACAATAAACAACAATAACCTAATATAACATCACAAATACAACATAAACCATATAGAATAATTAAGAAAACACCAGTAAAACAATTACAATCTATAAGACACTATTTACAAAACAGCTCGAAAAAAAGCTGAATGGCATAATTACAATAAAAAATTACAATAAAAGTCATAGTATAGGATTCACAGCATTCTTAATCTATAAAGCAGCATTAAAAGCTTTAACAAACAACAACCAAAAGTTAACTAAGCACTGTTGAATTCATACAAACACGCTCCCCATCCTCATGACTCATAATCTTCCACACTGTTCAGGTCTTCAAAAAATCAACAAAACATATACATAATGCCTGCAGCAGCAGTTCCCTTCTGCAGGCTCCTGGGGCTAGAGGGTGGGGCAAGGCAGGTGGAAAAAGCCATTGCCTGAATCACAGAATTGTAGAATTGGAAGGGACCCTGAGGAGCATCTAGTCCAACCCTGTGCAATGCAGGAATATGCAGCTGTCCCATGCGGGGAATGAACCTGCAACCCTGGTGTTATCAGCACCATGCTCTAGCAAACTCAGCTATCCCAGCTATGTGGCCAGCATAATGTCCCTCTCCCCTAACCATCTGTTTGTGTATTAATTCTGTTTAATATTTTTAAAAATTCATATATTTAAATATATTGTGTATATTAAATACATTGTGAACCCTTTTAATTTACGATGGGGGAAATTAAATTCAGCGTGCGGCCCGAGAGTTCTGTGTTGAATAACTCTTGTGGCCCACTTGGTAAGAAAAGTTGGACTGCCCTGTTCTAGAGAAATGGCACATTCGCTCCAATTAATCATCTTTCTCGCCATAAATAAATCGCAGTCATAACTCCTGTTCAGCCTCCAATATACTTGCATAACTTATAATAATTCTATATGCCTGGCACATATCCCCATATGCATATTAACTTTCAGTATTATTAAAGAAGAGGTGTTTATTGATTTAACCATTGGCCCTATTCCCAATCCCAGCAGTTCAGCTATAATTTCCAAAACTGTGATGGCAACCCATGATATGTGGGGAGATAATCTGGCAGGAAGGGAAGAGCACTAAGAGGCTTGAGTTTTTCACAGCTCAAATTTGTTTCAATTGAGCCTGTTTAGGTGAATTATCTGTTTTCACTGGAACTCAGGCTGTTACAATCAGCCACACAGCTCCATTCCTACAGAGACACAGGACAAAGCCATTCTCTTTTCAACCATTACTAGAACGACTACAAGTTAGCAGGCAAAACAGCAGAATCAGAAAACAGTAATTGCTCCTTTAATTAAGGCCACCAAGGCAGGACTTAAATGGAACTGGATAAAGGTTTTGGCTTTCTTGTCAAACTCTGGAAAAAAGCCAAAAACAGAAGTGAGACAGAGAGTGCATGATGTTCAATCAGTTACTACAGTATAAGGAAAGGGACATCCACACATATTGAAAACTAGAAACACTGGACTTTACATACTGCACCGATGGAAACTTTTGCTTAAAACTATAAGAAAGGAAACTTAGCAGGGAGTTAGCATGACCTTCAACAAACAATAAACTCCCTTTCTTTCTGCCCACAGCCAACTCAGTGTTGAAAGGCTTCTTCCAACGACTGCATTCTTGAAACTTCTAGGTCTTCGTGTGTTTTGCAAATCAATGTTAGAGACATGCTCTTACACCTGAAACAATTAACTTGTGTGGAAGACTAAGAATTCTCCATCTGTAGATAGGCCCACCTTCCCTGTCTCTGCAAGAGTTACCCATCTGAAGGATGCCTTCTAACCAGATGGAGGCAATCTGAAATCAGCAATTGCTACAGAGAGGCAACAGGTAGCCTCCATGGAGAACAGATCGTTTCGCTGTCTGCATCAGCAGTGACTGAATTATCCAAACACACGGGATGTAGGCTGGAGGAAGAATTACCCGTCCCAAATGGAGGCACACAGAAAGGAAGACCAGAGCAGTGAGTCACACAGAGGCACACCAGGCAGCCCCCTCTGTCTATGAATACTTTGGGCTCTTGGCACGCTAATAGTTACTCTTAGCAGTGCTTTCTTCTGGGGGGACGCAGGGCTACACATTTTGTGAATGTTTGGCCTCATTGAGGGGCAGTATTTCCATATGAGTAGGAAAATAAGAGTACTCCTAAACATTTTTTTTAAAAGAAAAAAGCACTGACCGTGAGGCTGAGAAAAATGACACAAATTGTGCCACACCATGCCCCTCTAACTGGCTTAAGTAGGCCTATATTTTCTAGCCTAGAGTGCATAATACTGCAGCTCTACAGTGGAACTAGGAACCCACAAATTCGCACCAAAATCAAAGCAGGTACAGGAATGTAAACAGCAAATTACTAGTGGGGAGCAGTGTTAGAAATTCCCCAAGCTCCAGGCCAACTTAAAACATGGGTTACTGGTGCCGCAGTAGAAAGTATAGGCACTGTTTCCCACTCAATGAAATTTCTATTTCTTATTTTTTTCTTTTCTATTCCGCTTTATATTTTAAAGAAAAAAATTCCGAAGCGGTTTACAACACGTTAAAACATCAAAGGAAACAATCCAGAATACAGTCATACCTTGGTTCTCAAACAGAATCTTTTCCGGGAGTCCGTTCGACTCCTGAAACCATTCAAAAACCAAGGCGCGGCTTCCTACAGTCAACTGGAAGCCGCGCCAGATGCTCGGCTTCCGAAAATCATTCAAAAACCAGAACGCTCACTTCCGGTTTTCGATCGTCCGGGAGTCGAAACATACAAGTTCCAAGGCGTTTTGCAACCAAGGTATGACTGTAAAACAAATTCAAGCTTCCAGGAAAATATTTCAGATCCTTCTCCAAGTGACATTTTGTTTTCCCCATATCTATTTACCGGCTTAATTTACAGAGCTGCCTCATAGCAGAAGTATTCTAGAAAGCATTGCACAAACACCCCTTACCAATTTTGTTTAGCTGCACACAACTGGAATCCAATTTAAGGCATGCTTCCTTACAGTAATACCAACACTGCCATCGCAAGCAAGGCAGAACACACAAGAAGTGCCTTCTAGGAAAATCTGAGTCTCCACAGGGAACCTCCCTTTCAACAAGTCTCCGCTGCAACTTTGGCTTGTGTAATAACTATTTCCCAGCCGGTGGGTCCAGTTATCAAAGCGTTCCAACCTTCAGAAGTCCTTCATTAGTCACAAACCTTCGGCCAAAATAGCAAGCTACAACTTATCCTGACTTTACAAGGGCAGCTAAGTGAGACGTCAAAGCTGCTGGTTCTTTATCCAGTCAGGAGAGCAAGAACCTATTTATTGGCTTAGAAATTGCAAGCACCTCAGGGCAGGGATGCCTCCCCATGCGCGCGCGCGCACACACACACACACACACACACGGCACTGTGATCCCAGTAAGTCAGGCCTCTTTCCTTTCTTGTTGCAAATGGTGCTCTGAACGCTCATTCAGCCAACAGCGACAGATCACTTATATATAGAGTCTTCTGTGCAATTTTCAGATGCAGGTAGACAGCAAGTGGTAAATCATAATATTTGCATGAGGGAGAGGAACCCCATTGTATACACCCTTGCACAAGTCTGAGGACAGACAAACCAGTTACCTAAGCAGTAACCCACAGTATTGGGCATATTCTCAAATTCCCTTATGACCAGGGTGGATTTGATTTAAATCAAATCGATTTAAATCATGATTTAAATCACTAGTCAGTAAGACTTGATTTAAATCATTTTTTTTACAGAAAGACATTCCTGCTGGTATAATATTAATATTTACAACCAGATGAAGGCTTCATTTTTTGAATAATAAATTTTCAGAGTAGTTTTTACAATTACTGGGATATCAAAAATTACTGATTTGGTTATACTATTAGAAATACATAGACAGATAATTATGAACTTACTGTGAGGTTTAATAAGTTAACTGTTTATATTTGGACAACTTTTCTGCTGTACTTTATTGGAAGGAGAAAAATAATCATTTCCTTAATAACAATTTAAACCATTTATTTAACTAAAACAATAACATTATAGCATATGCATCCATGTTTGTTAACTGATGTGGTTAAACTTTTTTAAAAAACAAAACAAAACAAAACAAAACAAAACACCCAACTTAGGCTGAGTTTCAGCACACATGAAAAACTTAAAACAAATTCTTATTTCCTGATAAATACCCTTTGGAATATAATATAACTTAAACAGAAAACTATCTTTAGAAATATTTTTTCCTCCAAAAACATTTTATTTTGAAAATCCAATTTAAATAATAAAAAATTGATTTAAATAAAAAAAAATTAATTTTTTTATTTTTAAAAAATCATTGACTTTTATCCACCCTGTTTATGACCATTATTAAAATTTCAGCATGGAGGAAGTTTTTACACAGGGTAAAAAAAAGGAAAGTGGCTGACAGAGATGCCCATTTTAATCACTCTCTCAAATTTCCCACCAATATCTTACTAACAGCTGAATACTTTTTTTGTTCTTGCTTAAGCATAAAAATGGTAGCCCCCAATGGTAAGCTATAAAATGTTGTATTTAACTCCTTTATATCCCAAATTTCCCATAAAAAAATATTCCATCAAAGTAATTTAAATCTCATGCAGAATATCAGATTATAAAACACCCACAAAAGTCTGATGCAAGAAGAGTACAAACAGCAAGGGGAGGAAAAACAGACATCGAGCCAACCTCTGGAGGCGTGAAAAAGCAGGAATCTTTGCCAACAGATGCTTTAATGGATCCATAAAACATCAGGCATTCAATTTACTGCCATGTCCCAGGGGGGAGTTTCATAAACAGGGTGCTGCCACACAGGACAAGGCACCACTCTGGTAACTTAACCCAGCCTTCCCCAATGATTTGAACTTTTTAGTCTAAAACATCTGGAAGGAACCAGGTTGACGAAAGCTAACTTGATCTCTTTCAAAGAATGGATGTATGCACTTGGGGAAAGGCATCAGAAGCTGATCTAAAGGAGCAGGCAGGTTGACACACCCAGCTTTACATCAGATCAAATGGGTGCATGCAAATTAGTGCCAGGCTTCCTCGTGGTGGCAAGGCTCCTTTTTCACACAGTGCAATTAACGTACAGAGCCACACAAGTGCGTGCGAAAGGTGCCTCTGCCCCAATTCCAAAGTTAGACCAAGTCTTCTCCAACATGGCGCCCGCCAGTGGTTTTGGCCTACAACTCCCATCAGCCCCAGACAACATGGCCAATGGGAAGGGATAATGAGAGCTGTAGTTCAACCACACCTGGAGGGCAGTAGGTTGGGGAGGGCTAAACTAGAAGCTGTAGTCCTCTCATGCAGCTGATACTGGTGACTGGGGGCAATGGGGGTTGTAGGCCAAAATTATCCAGAGTTTGGGAACAGCTGGTTTAGACAGTGGAGGGAAACAGTCAGTGCTAAGGGAGAGGGCTCTACATATATGAGGTGCCAGATTGAACACCTGGATTTTCCAGTTTTGTTTTTTAAAGAAGGATCAAATGGCACATTATGGGATATTTCTTTTCAGGTTTTCCCTGGCCCATAAGATAGGACTCTGTTTCATGTGTCTGAATCTTCTGAATTTCTGTTTTACTTCCTTTTCATACTGCTGCTTACTGGTTTTAGGCTGCATTTTTTTGTTTCAATTACAGAGTTTTGTTATTTTAGACTGTACATTGCTTAGAGGTTTAGAAAAAAATTTTTGCTCATTTTTTCATGCAATTTATATACTGCTTGCTTGTTTTAAAAAAATAACCCTCAAACAGCTTACAAAAATTATGCAGCATAAATGCTTTTAAGCAAATAAGGCCCCTTTTATTTAATAATAAAGCCACTTTATTAATGTACAATACACGAATGACAAGAACCAGGTAAAACCAACTACCTCCAGCTTTCACTGGTTACGAAATTCTAAAGAGAAAGTCATGATGAGACATAATTTCTCCATGCAAACTTTCACCGAACTGGAATCATGCCACTTCACTTCACATACCTGCATCACTCAAGAGCATTAAGGCTCATTATTGAAGTACGGAGCAGAAAAGTAAAAGTATTTGCCCCCAAGTGTCAGATTCTCTCTAAAACACGTGTGCCAACAAATATACCGTATGTCAGAAATAAAGAAACTTCCATTAACAATGCAAACCTACACATCTACTCAGACAAAAGTCTGAGTTCATAGAGTTCAATGTGGTTTATTTCTTGTTAAGGGTACACAAGATTGCAGCCTAAGTAGCTTCTGCACACAGAAATTAAATCCAAAGGAACAGATGCAGAAGTCAGCAAAAACATTGTTTTTTAGAAAAGGAACAGGAGTTAAGACAGCAGCATTTACCACTTCCTTGCCCTGTACTCCAATATTACAGTCTCTTAGGTGTGGGCCTGTTATATAAGCTGTTGGTGCACACAGTTGTGTGTGTGTGTTTACATCGCTTCGTAACAAAGACAACCCTAACCACATTAAGGATAGAAGCCACATCAGAACAAGAAAAAGGAATTGGAATGCAAAACAAGTTCAGGGCGTCTTCTGAAGTTTTGCAAGAGGGTAAAACATGCCGTCTGAAACACACAGCTTCCATGTGACGTGTTAAACATGACACCAGCACAAAAGCAAACACTTCTACAAAAGATGAACCAGAGATTAGCCACAATAGCAACTGCCAGGCGGCCAGTCCCAGCAAAGCAGATCCAACAGATATTTTAAAAAAACAGACATGTTTCTCCCTTTTTCTGCTTTATGAAAACCGTTTCACGTTTAGAAGCAGGCCAGGGGAACACCTGAGGATCCTGAATGAGAGCAGGCAAAAGCAGAGCGGGTGCAAACCTGATTTCTTTGCTCCAGGTTGCATTCAGTGAGCAGTTGGCAACATCATAGAATTGTAGAGTTGGAAGGGGCCATGAGGGTCATGTAGTCCAACCCCTGCAATGCAGGGATCTTGGAATGAGTTTTATACAGTCTATTCATGGCAATGAAGGGAGATGGGGGACTGCTGACTGTTCTAATGCAATTTTAAACATAATTTGTTAAGCCCACTTATATGAAAGACTATGATCCCATGCACACTCACCTGGGAGTAAGCCCCACTGAGCTCCATGGGACTTGCTTCCAAGTAAACATGCTTAGCATTACAGTGTGTGTAAATTACAGACTAAAGAAGACAGCAGAAAAACAGTAACGGAGCCCAAAATGCACACACATGACTCAGAAGCATATGCAACTGTGCTTACTCCCAGGTTAATGAGTGTGAAGTGTGGCTGTCTAGCAGTGCAAATCCTAAATATGCTTACTCATGAGCAGGCCCTGCTGTGTCCTCAATGGGGAGTTACTCCCCTAGTCAGGGTAAGAACATCCCAAGTCCAGCATCCCATTTACCACAGGGATCAACTAGAAACCCCAACAGCCCACAAGTAGGACATAATTGCAACTGGCCTTCTGTAACCCAAGAGACTAAAATTCAGACGCATGGCGCCTCCTCTGAGCCTTGAAGCAGCACAGCCACCATTATGGCTAGCAGCCATTGGCAGCTTTATCCCCCTGCAAATTTTTCCAATCCCCATTTGCCACAGCTTGTGGCAGCGAGTTCCATAGTTGAACTGTGCAGTCGGGCAAAGGAAGTGGATCATCTCCCAATTCTTTATTGGCCTGTTCAATCTGCATACCGCCTTTCCCCTGTAGGTCTTGGGGGCAGTTCACAGCTGCCAGGATAAAGACCTCCTTTCCCCCAGAGCATGCACAGAGTTCACACACACAAAATCACCTCTCCCCGAACATTGCAGCTTTTCCTCCTCGCTGTTGCTTGCCTTTAAACACACACCCCGCCACCAATAAAATAAAAATTTATCAGGAAAAAAAGAAACACCCCCCCCCACAAAAAACCCTGCACCTTTTCCAAGCTCTGTAATAAACCAATGAAAAATAAAACCGGGGGAGGGAGAGATGCAAAGAGAAAGGGGAAGATATGGGGGGTCGGTGTCTTTGTCCTCACCCTCCCAGTTTCCCCACTGAATCCCAGTTGCTGAGGGTGGAAGGCGGCGCACACAAAGGGGCTTTGCCTCGCCGCTGCCAGGCAAGGCGGGACCCCCCTCCCGCCCCACAAAGCCCGGCCTCTGGGTCCGGGGAGGCTGCCCCATCTCTCTCCCGCACCCCACACTCTCTCACCCATAAGGGCTCGGAGCCGGCCGGGCCCCTGCAAAGCCGCTGGACGTCCATGGCGGGCGTCGGCGTCGGCGCTTGCCCAGGCTGGCCGGCGAAAGCTCTGCCTCGCTCGGCGGCGGCGGCTTCGAGGGAAAGGAAGCCTCTGCCGGGGAGGAGGAGCCGCCGGCCGAGCCGGGCCGGAGCTGATTGGGCTGAGCGGTCGGGGGCGGCGAGGGAGAGGCCCCCCTCCGGCGCGGGAGGAGCCGCCTCAGAGCCGCGGCCTAGGCGCGCCCTCCTCCTCCCCGGCCCTCGCCCGCCTCTCGGCCCGGGGGAGGAGGCCACGTAGCGGGCCACGGGCGCCTTGCTCAGAGTAGGCCCCCCGGGCTGCAGCAGGCCCCGTTGGTCTCTTGGATAGGGGCCCGTCTGCACAGTGCGGTGGAAGCGCCACGGTGCCGCTTTAAACAGTCATGGCTTCTATATATATACTATCTATATATAATATTATTCTGCCTCTCGATATCCTATAGGCGCTATCTAATTGAATTATTTGCTTTACTGAATATATAAATGTGTATGTACATATGTGTGTGTGTGTGTGTGTGTAATAATTCAATAATAATAATAGGCACAGTCTAATGGAATTATTTGCTTTACTGAATATATAAATGTGTGTGTATAGTAATTCAATAATAATATAATAGGTGCTGTCTAATTGAATTACTTGCTTTACTGAATATATAACTGTGTGTGTATATATTTGTGTGTATAATAATTCAATAATAATAATAATAATACAATTAGACAGCACCTATATGATACCGAGCGACAGACTAATTTGGCCACGATAATAAGGACATTTTGCCCATGCTATGATTATTTCCCATCTAGTAATTTTGACACATCAGCCCCCTGTTTGCAAAATTGTAACAATTCCAAAATACAGACGCGCTTGGCTAGACTGGATTGGATAGACTGCCTTCAGCTGTGCTTGAAGGTCGGTTTCAAAAAATCCCGCTACAAAAACGCTTATGTCCATGTGGAGATGGCAGTATTGAATGAGTAGCTCGTGTGCTTCTAGCTTAAACTCTTTATAAAGATTTGAGGTTTTTGCCCCTCTACTATCCATACCAGGTCGCTCAACCATAGCTGTGTCCTTTCTTCCAGCAGATCAAGATAATCAGGTGACAGCAAAAAAACTGCAAACATTTTAGCAGGGGCAATTAGAGTAAGATCTATTATTTGATTATTGATGTAAACGTCCAGAATGTATTTTGTATAGTTAAGTTTTTACCTCTATCTTCAGTACATTTTATTTTATTGACTGATGCAAATAAAAAATCTTCAGATGATGTATATATACATTTATCAGCCACATATTTCAAAAAAGCTCAACAACTTTGCGGGTGTCAGAAATGTAACTTTCTGAAATAATGGCAACCCTACACAAACATATATATGCGCATGATATATACATTTATCAGCCACGTATATCAGTGTCTACAGCCTCATCAGGCACTGCAACCTTCCAAAAGTTTGGCTTCGCTCCCAGGGTCACACTCCTCCAATGTCTCCTGAGACAGACGGATGTAAACCGTGTATACATGCATATACATATGTATATGTATACAGTCACAGTAAAGAGAAAGTACTCCCTCTTTGAATTCTGCGGTTTTACATATTGAGGACGTAATAACAACCATCTGTTGCTTAGCAGGTCTTAGAATTAGGTAAATACAACATCAAACGAACAGCATCTGTAGTGGGAAACAACCCCAAATGCACAGCAGGGTGGAAAGAAGAAATTAAGTCACTGCACCAATAGCCTGTCTAAATAAGGTTAATACAGTGGTACCCTCGGGTTAAGTACTTAATTCGTTCCGGAGGTCCGTACTTAACCTGAAACTGTTCTTAACCGGAAGCACCACTTTAGCTAATGGGGCCTCCTGCTGCCACTGCGCCGCCAGAGCACGATTTCTGTTCTCATCCTGAAGCAAAGTTCTTAACCTGAAGCACTATTTCTAGGTTAGCAGAGTCTGTAACCTGAAGCGTATGTAACCCGAGGTACCACTGTACTGGCCAAACCACACCATCATTATGATCATCACTTCCCTATCTCCACCCCTTTCGTAATCTTTTAAGATTACAACTCAATAAACACAGTAATAGGAGGTTGGTAAACTGTTCTGAAAGGAGATATATAAATGCTTTGGAAATTAATGTAATATTAAAACAGTTTCAGGCTGCAACCCAAAATACATTTTTCTGCAGGCAGCCCCAAGGAATGCAGAGCTAGACTTCTAAGGAACGGTGTTGAGAGATTTGCATTTTAAAGCAGCAATTCCACCCACACTGGCTTGGAACAAGTAACTTCCACTGACACCATAGGGCTTTCTGAGTTAACAGGCACAGAGTAATAAATAAATTATTTTATTGGTTTATGGCACCATTACATTGCTCACACACCCCCATATGTCAATTGCAAATAATGGTTGCACTTCCTTTCCTTATCGTTGTTCTGCTTTCTACAGTAGCATTAATTTCCAACCCCTCTTTTATACATGTTTTGATCCATTCTTTGCATTTATCCTCAGATATGTCTGTTTATACTGAAATAGAATAGTTTTAAAAAATCTTGTTCAACAGGGCTTATTCCCAAGTATGCATACAATGACTTGTGTTGTGTGAGCTGTTTCAGATGCATCTGGGAAAGCAGAATGAAAATGCTACTATCACTACCACTATTACTACAGCTACTACTACTACTAATAATAATATTTGAAAGCAGGGCTTTTTTTCAGCCGGAACTCACCAGAACTCAGTCCCAGCACCTCTCAGGTGAATGCCATTGCTATTATAAGAGAACAAGGGGGGTGTTTATGGTGAGTTCCAACACCCCTTTTTCTAGAAAAATAGCACTGATTGAAAGTGTCATTGAAATTATTGTGTATTGCTTGAATAAGAGTGCTTAGAAGATCAAATTTCAACCAAGCACCCCCTGCATCTTGTGGCACTGAATGTTATTCTTGGGGTGCCGGGGATTAAATAAAAAGAGATTACATCAGCAAGATCCTTTGTACCATTGGGGGTAGCTCACCAGGCCCTGGAGATCTATATTAATTTAAAGTAGCTAGGTGTTCCCTTACCACCTCTTTTCCTATCTTGGGCTGCAGCTCCCTCATTGCATGGTTTATTTTGTTATCACCAAGTTCAGCACTGCTTTCTTTTTGGATAAAGGCAGGCAAAGCAGGTGTTGAGTAGTTCTGCCTTCTCTCTGTCAATCAGTAGCATTTATCCATCTTCTCCATGCAGAGGACCTACTACTTGCCTGTTCTTCTCTTGCTTCAAACATAGCCAAATAAATATTTCTATTTTTATTTTTAACCTCTCTTGCAAACCCGAGCCCATTCGGAGCTTTAGCCCTCCTGACCTTCTCCCCGCAACTTGTGTATACTCCTTTGTGATTTCTCCTTTCTTCCATTTCTTATACATTCCCTTCTTAAATCTCAGCGCATCTGTAAGCTCCTTATGCAGCCACACTGCTTTCTTTAGACGCCACTTCCTTCTTGTTGGAAATGTCAGCATTTGTGTCTTCAATATTTCACCTTTAAAGAACTCTCATCCATTTTGCACTCCCTTCTCTCTGGGTATTTCTGACCATGGGATCTCTCCCAGTATCTCCTTAAGCTTTTTGAACTTGCCCTTCTTAAAGTCCAGAGTGCATGTCTGACTACACTCAGCTTTCCCTTGCCTCTCTATCATGAAACCCAGGAGGACACAATCACTTCTCCCAAGTTTCCAAGTACTTCCACTTTGTCAATCAGTTCCTTCCTGTTGGTGAGGACCAGGTCTAAGATAGATGATCCATCCCCTTGTTGCTTCTTCCACCTTCTGGGAAAAAAATTGTCAGCAAGGCAACTGAGGAATTTGTTGGACCTTACATCCTTGGCAGAGTTTGAGTTCCAGCAGATATCTGGGAAGTTGAAGTCTCCCATGACTACTATAGCTCTCCTTTTTTGAATGTTTGGTAATTTGCTCTAGGAAGGCATCATCCAAGGCTTCAGTATGGCTGGTGAACAATATGAACATCATAATAAACCTCAGGGTTTAAAGCCAGTGACGTGGGAGATGGATACCCAGAGCAGAATCCTCCTAGTTTCAGTGGGGATTGTGCCCCATAATATGCCAATTTCTAAAGCCCTAAACAGGCTTGGTAAGAATTTAACTGCAGCCAGGAGTGCTGCCAGGCTCCAGTGTAGCTACGTTGAATACAGCCCAGTTTTCCTTTTGCACATCTCTCATCCATATCTGTGGGGTTACAGAGGAGAACCGCCATCTGCATTCGCAGTCCAGTTCTATCCACCCAGTTCTTTTCCCCAAATTGGCCGCCTGAGGCACACCTTTGCCTCACCTTATCAACTCTGCCCATACAATAAGTTATACGAGCCAAATTCAATCCGAGGATGAACTTGGTGCTCACAGAAAACAAGTTTTACAAGGAAACCATTACGCCAAAGAGGCCAGCTGCCAATTCAACAATAAACTTGACGAACAATAACGGCTTTTCCAAGGGAAAGCTGAGGAACAGAGTCAGAGCGGCGGGAATGGATCAAGTGCGATTAACATCAAACGGATCAAGACTCCTAAACAAAGCCATCCATTCTTTGACATTTTCCAACAAACATAGCTCACGGAGTTTCCACAGGGCACCATTTACGGGAAAATAAATTTTCCACAGGCTGGCGTTCGTACGCTGCTTTGGGTTCCTGAGGTGGACACAAAACAGCTTTTTAGGTGTCACCTCAATCCTCAACACGTTTCCTAAGTGTCACCCCTTAGCAGCAAGTTCTCAGAAAAGAGTTCTTGAGATTTGAGTGGCTTGTTTTATTTTTCTGACAGCTTTTCATCACAAAGCAATTTCCAGCATACCAGTAAAATAACACAGACTTGGAATTCATGACAAGCCATTAAAATATGCCACCCCCTGTGTTTCTTTTCCTCGATGGTACTCCGCAGTACAAAGTAATTTCCTCTCTTTCTTTGTTGCCCATGGCAGCCATTTTGGCAATATCTTTTATCAAGATATGAGTACCAGCACCACATTTTTTACCAAAAAAGGCACTAGCCAGCCCTATTATTAGGCAACATATGCTGATGAGATCAGTGTAGACACAAATGTGTGTGAAAAGCATTCTGCCCTATGCTAACTTAGGATCCTTTAGTGAATAATTTGGCAGCAGATTCAGGACAGACAGCATTTGACATGGCATAGGTTTACTCTATGGAACATCTTATGTGTTGATGGGCACTAGCTTCAATCGCT